CTGATGTAGGCATCCTTGTTATCCAGATGTTCCAGGGATAAATATGGGGCCAAGGAAATGGCGTCTGCCATGGTTGTGCCAGTAGGTGAATTACAAATGATCAAGGCAATTTGGTAGGCTGGAGCTGATGTGAACCATGACTAACCTCATGAAGCACTTCATAATTTTGTAAGTCAGAGCCAGCAGTGGTAGTCATTGAGACACACTGCATGATTTATCTTTGGTGCCAGGATGATGGCGGTCTTTGTGAAGCAGGTGGGGACTTCAGATTGTAGTAAGGAGAGGTGAAAGATGTCTGTGAATACTCCCACCCGCTGATCCACACAATGCGGACTTCATCCAGGCCAGTCACTCTCAAGAAGGCCAGTGTAAGGTCTGCATTAGTGACCGTGGGTACTAATGCATCTAAGGCTGTTGGGACATTGTTTCACTGACCTTCTGTTCAAAGCGAACATAGAATGCTTTGAGATCATCAGGTAGGGATGTTGCCCACGATTCTGTTCAACTTCGTTTTGTAGCCTGTTATGTCATGTAAGCCTTCCACAAGTGACGGGTATCCATGTGGTTGGTTGGGTCTCAAGCTTAGTTTGGTATTGTTGCTTGGCATCTCTGATGGTCTTACGAAGATCGTACCTGGATTTCCTGCATAGATTGCCCAGCTTGAACACTTCATACCTGGACTTCGGTAGGGAGTGGATCTTTGGGTTCATCCGTGGCTTCCAGTTGGTGAACATTCGGATTAACTTCTTTGGCACATGGTCTTCTACATGCTTATTAATGAAGTCTGTAACTATAGTGGCATACTCGTTTAAATTGGCCATTAAGTTCTTGAATACGGACCAGTCCACCAACTCTAATCAGTCCCATAGAAGCCCTTCCATTGCCTGACACTAACACTGCGCTACTTTCTGTACTGGGTCCTCACACTTCAGTTTCTGCATGTATGCCCTTCTGCTCTTGCTGAGAGCTGGCACAGACATGGGTCAAATGGCATCTTTAAGTGCTGTAATCATCCTGTCATTAAGTTTGGTAAATGTCTCATATTGATAGATTGCCAATGAGTCTGATAATGATACCAGTTCTCACTTCTCTTTCCATTACAAATAAGCTGAACAGAACATGGTCACAGAGACAGAATGCCAACTAGTAATCAATTTGTAGCCAAATGGCAGATTCTGGTTCTGATGCCCTGTGTGAGGCAGATACCGTGGACTAAGGTGATACTGACTGGGTATTGATTAGTGACTCCAGACAGGAAGGTTAATCTCTGTACCCTGGATACTGTAACCAATGGGATTCAATATGGAATCAATTTAAAATTTTCCGCAATGTGAAGACAGTGTGTGAAGACAATGAACAATGGGAAGATCCCTTGGATACTGCATACAACCCATTGAGAACCCTTAAGGTAGGAAGTACATTCATGGTTTCTTATACATTATCCAAAGGACAAGTAAAGATTACAGAATGCCATTTAAAAAAAAGATATTTTTAATATGCTGCCCATGACGGAAGGAATCTTCAAGGTACTTTACAACTAGTGAAGTCCATTTAGAATGTGCTCACTAATGTGGTGTACACAATATGGCAGTTAGTTTACACAAGCTCCTACAAACAGCAATGACCAAATAATTTGGTTTAGTGTGGATTGAGGAATAAAGGATTGATGATTGGCCAAGACATTGGTTAATTCCCATCCTCTTCTTCAAAATTACATTGAGATTTCTTTTTACATTCCCTGGAGAGATCAGACAGAGCTTCAATTTAACATTTCATTCAGAGACAGTTCCTACAATGCAATGCTCCCTCAATACTGTGTAAGTGTTAGTCTAGACTGTGCTCAAATTTGGAGTGGAACTTGAACCATAATCTTCAGACAGACGGAAATCACTGAATCATCGCTAACATTTTAATAACAAAGAAATTTGGCTATAATTGTAAATCTCAATGCCCCTGACATTATTATTTCACATACACTGCCTTTTTGCTAATAAATCAACAAGATATATTGCTTTACCATGAGTGCCATCACAGAGACTTAATGACAATTTGTTTAAAAAAGTCTTGCTTATCTTAATCAACTCCTGTAGTATTGCTGATAGAAGGCTACCTGCTCCTATGATGCTGCTTGGCCTGCTGTGTTCATCCAGCGCTACACCTTGTTATCTCAGATTCTCCAGCATCTGCAGTTCCTACTATCTCCTGTAGTATTGCTGTTTGTTATGTTTTGCTGGCAGCATCTCAAAGCCTGCCTTTGAACGTTTTATTAGCAATACAGCAGATGGTGTGCTAAGTATATGCATGTAAAGATAAGTGACTTATGACCTACTTCTGTGTTTCAACTGCTGCCAGATTAAAAAGGTTATGTACTTAAGTAGAAACCGGAAGTGTTCTGAGGAAGTGTCACCGGACCCATAACGTTAACTCTGATTTTTCATCATAGGTGTTGCCAGACCTGCTGAGCTTTACCAGCAACTTCTGTTTTTGTATATATTTAAATAGGTTAGTTACGATTTCTAGGAAGAGAGTGTAGTTGTAAATTGTTTATTCATTGCAAAACTGAAGAAAAAAACTTTACCTAATACACAAATCCTTGATGGATTTTTTAGTTACAGAAGAACTAGGAGCAGGAATTGGCAATTAAGCCCCTTGAGCCTATACTCCATCGTTTGATATGATCATGGCTGATCGCACCTGACCTTAGCTCCACCTTCCTATCCAATCTTCATAAACCTTCAAGATTTATTAAAAATATTGTTAATTCATCTCCTCAAAAATTTACTCAATTGTCCCAGCATTCACCATACTCAAGGGTAGCAAATTTCACAGATTCACAAACCTTTGAGAGAAGCAATTTCTCAACTGTTTTAAATCTGCTACTCTTATCCTAAACATATGACCTCTCATTCTAGATTACCCTGAATGAGGAAACATCTTTTCTACATTTACTCTGTCAGTCCACTCTAGCATCTTATATACCTTAATTAAATTTCCTCATTCTTCTGAACTTCAGAGAATAGGCCTAAACTGCTCAGTTTCTGTTCATAAGACAAACTCCCTCATCTCATCTCTGAAATCCAATCTAGTGAACCTTCTCTGAACTGCCTCCAATATTACCATTCCTCAAGTAAGGGAACCAAAATTGTATGCAACACTGTAGGGCCGTCTCACTAATGCAACAATGCTACCCTACTTTTCCGCTATTTGTTTAGCAATAAATGGCAAAATTCTGTTTGCCTTTGTTATTACCTGCATACTAGTCCTCAGCATTCACGCATGCGGACACCCAAATCCCACTGCATCAAAGCACTCTGAAGTTTCACCTCATTTAGACAGCAAGTTGCTTTATATTCCTCAGAAAGAAGTAGATAACTTCGTGCTTATCTATGTTAATTGTCATCTGCCAAATTTTGGCCGATTCACCTAACCTATCCATTTGTCTATTTCTTCATTGCAACTTACTTTCCCACCTATTTTATAGTGTCATCTGGAAATTTGGCTAGCATTCTTTCTATCCCCACAATCAAGTGATTGGCGTAGATTGTGAACAATTGGAACACTGAACCCTGTGGTACCCTAGTAGAACTGTAGAATCCCTACAGTGCAGAAAAGGCCATCTGGACCATTGAGTCAGCACTCTGACCCTCTGAAGAGCATTGCACCCAGACCCATGAGCATTGCACCCAGACCAACCCCACCACCCTACCCCCATAACTCCACATTTACCATGGCCAGTCCACCTAGCCTACACATCCCTGGATGCTATGGGCAATTTAGCATCTTTGGACTGTGGGAGGAAACCAGAGCACCCGGCAGAAACCCATGCAAGCATGGGGAGAATGTGCAAACTCCGAATCCCAGGTGCTAACCATTGTGCCACAGTACCATCCCCGATTTATGTCTTGCCAACCAGAAAAAAACAACCCACTTACCCCAATTCTGCTTTGTTAGTTTGCCAATTCTATATCCTAGAGAATTTATTACCTTGAAAGCCATGTGATCTTGCTTTGTGTGTTAATCTTTTGTATGGCACCTTATCAAAGGCTTTCTGGAAGTCCAGATGCACAAAATCTACAGGATCCCCATTATCCATATTGCATCTTCAAAGGAATGCTAGCAAATTAGTTAAACATGATTTACCCTTCATAAAGTCATGCTGAATCTGATGGAATATATTTTGACTTTCCAGTTGTTCTGTTATTACTTCTGTAATGGATTCTAACAATTTCCCAACAACATGTTAAACTAACATTTTAAACTGAGTAAGGGTGTTTGCTATATTAGCATTTTTCAATTCCACTGGAATATTTCCTGTATCCAGGGAATTTGGGAATGTTATAGCCAATGGATCCATGAACTCTGTTGCCATTTCCTTCAAGTCCCCAAAAATTAGGCCATCACACTCTGAGAACTTGTCTGCCTTCAATCCCAATGTTTGCTCAGTACTTTTTCTAAGTACTAATGATTGTTCTAAGTTCCTCCCTCCCTATAACCTCTGCATTACCTGTTATTATTGGAATGGTACTAGTGTCCTCCATGAAAACTGAAGCAAAGTACTGATTCATTTGAAGTCTTGAAGTGAGTGCTTCTGTGTTCCATTTAACAGAGTGAGTGTTGTGCTGTTGTAATATTAAATTTATGTGAAGCTGTGAATTGTATGCAGTGACACCCATATCCCTTTGAATATCAACATTTTCTCGTAATTCAGTTTAAAAAGTATTCTGCTTTTCTATTTTTCCTATGAGAGTGGCAATCATTGCATTTCTCTGATATTTCATCTGCCGCGTCCTTGTCCACTCACTCATCCATTAAAACCTAAAGAATCAAGCCTAAATTTAACCCATTATTTCTACAAATTTGTAATGGAATTTTTAAATGCTGAGGCTAGCCCTTGATCAGAAGTAGGATGAACATTCTTATTATTTTCATTTAAAATTTTTGCAATAACAAACTTGTGTGGTTCAATGCTAATTTTAACCATAGTTTCATTGCTTACACAGTTTGGAATTATGGAGCATGTGCATTTGACAGCACTAGAGGAGGAGGACCTATACTCAGGATATAATGACTACAACCCAACCTATGATACAGAGGTATGTGCTTGATTATGATTCTTTTATAAATGCAAATTTATATACTCTGCAAACATCCAAAATAGGAGTTGAAGTATACTATTTGGCCGTTGAGGTTGGTTGGCTCGCTGAGCTGGTTTGTTGTTCCGCAGTCGTTTCGTTACCGTGCTTGGTAACATCCTCAGTGCAGCCTCTGATGAAACGTCAGTGTGTTTTCCCGCCTGGCTTTTAAACTCTGGGGTCCGTTGCGATGGATTGCCTCATGACCTGCAGACAAAGGACGCATGACAGTGATAATGAATACAAAGGACTACATCTCCAAAGCACAAGCACTGCTTGCCGATGAGAACACATACCGGCCAGTACAAACTGACCCAACACCACAACTAGGCAACAAAATCCTATACACGCTACAAAGACATAAACAAACAGGACAGATCAACAAAGCAGACTTCTTAAGAATGAAACCCGAAGGAAACAACACACCCCGATTCTACGCCCTCCCTAAAGTGCACAAACCAGAAGTCCCCCTCAGACCCATAGTCTCCCTACCAGGCACTCCGTTGCACAGATTAGCCAGAGAACTACAAAGAAGACTCAAGCACCTAGTCAACAAATCACCCCACTCCATCCACTCAGCCCAAGAATTCGTCAACTCCATCAAAGACATAAAGATGGAGGACGAAGAGACCATGATATCGTTTGATGTCACTGCCCTATTCACGTCAATAGACATACCACTAGCAAGGGAAACAATGACAACACTACTTGAACAAGAACACGACCCCAGTGAAACCATCTCCAAGGACAACATGCTTAAACTACTGGACCCATGCCTGACCATCCACTTCACCTTCAACGGCCAAACAAATGAGCAAATCAACAGGATTGCCTATCTCCAGACTCAGCAGAAGCAATGATGCAAAGACTGGAAAGGACTTGCCTTCCGCAAATCCAACCTAAAGTATGGATACGCTACGTAGATGACACCTTTGTCATCGTTAAACGGACCAAATTAGAAGAGACACACAAACTCATAAACAACACCCTCACCAGAATAAAATTCACCAGAGCGGAGGAGAAGAACAAACAACTCCCATTCCTGGACGTCATGGTAGAGCGCAAGACAAATGGGGAACTGCAAACGAAAGTACACTGAAAAGCCACACACACAGACCAGGTATTGAACTTCAATAGTAACCATCCCAGCACACACAAACGAAGCTGCGTGTGAACACAATTTAAAAGAGCAACAACACACTGCAGCAACACGGAACTACGCCAAGAGAAGGAGGAATACCTCTTCCAGGTGTTCAAGGATAATGGATATCCAAAGAACTGGGTCAGGAGATGCCTACAGGAACAGCATCAGAAAGATTCTACACACCCCGACACACTCATCACACTACCCTACATCAGGAACACGTCAGAACTCACCACAAGACTTCTACGACCGCTGGGGATCAGAGTGGCACACAAGCCCACATCAACCCTACGACAAGTGCTCACCTGAACTAAAGACCCACTCCCCACCATGGACAGGACCAATGTCATCTACAAGATCCCCTGCAGAGGCTGCGAGAAACACTACATCGGACAAACAGGAAGGAAACTACCAACAAGAGTACATGAACACCAACTGGCTACAAAAAGACACGATCAATACTCACTCATCTCAATCCACATGGACAAGGAGAACCACGACTTCAACTGGGACAACACCAAGATCCTGGGACAGGCTAGGCAGAGACAAGCACGAGAATTCCTGGAAGCATGGCACTCCACGAAGCAGGCTATAAATAAACACATTGAACTTGACCCCATATACATTCCACTACGGAGGAAACCCGGAAGTGAGACAATCCATCGCAACGGACCCCAGAGTTTTAAAGCCAGGCGGGAAAACACACCGACGCTCCGTCAGAGGCTGCACTGAGGATGTTACCAAGCACGGTAACGAAACGTCTGCGGAACAACAAACCAGCTCGGCGAGCCAACCAACCTCAACACCCACAACCCGAGCTACAGATCTACTCCAAAACCTTAGATACTATTTGGCCCCTCAAACCTGTTCCACTGTTCAATAAGATCATGGCTGAGGTAGACAAACAGGAGGCTGGAAGAACACAGCAGGCCAGGCAACATCTAGAGGAAAGAAACAGTCAACGTTTCGGGTATTACCCTTCTTCAGGAGTCCTCCAGGTTCTCCTGTGTTCTTCCAGCCTCCTGTTTGTCTAAGACCATGGCTGATCTGTTTGTGTTTTGAATTCCACATTCCCATCTACCCCTGACAACCCTTGATTCTCCTGCCTAATGAGAATCTACCTCTGTCTTAAAAATATTCAGTGATCAGCCTTCAGCTGAGGTAGAATTCTAAACCTGCACAACCCTCAGAAAATTCTTCTAATCTAACCTGAAAGTGCAGGTCCTAATTCTGGACTGACCCGTTAGAGGACACATTCTTTCCATACTTACCTTGTTAAAACCATTCAGAATCTGATATTTCAATGGAGTCACCCCTCAGTCTTCTAAGCTCCAGTGGAAACAAGCCCATCTTGTCCGACCTGTCACCGTAAGGCAACTCACTCACTCCAGGTGTCACCATGCTAAGCTCCTCTGAACTTCAGTGTATTTCTATCATTCCTTTAAAGAAGCAAATCAGAAATGCACACAGTATTTGAGATGTGGTTTCACCAATCCCCTGTATAACCGAAACATTACTGTAAGTTTTAGGGGTCTTGTAACTTTAACTCAAATACCAAGATTAAAATTTGTTCATGTGAGACTTTAATCACAAAGGCAACAGGAGATAGTCTAGTGAAGTGATTCAGGAAACTTCCCTTGGGTTGTAAATAACAATTTTAGGGCAGCAATTTAGCAGGTGTTCTTTAGTTCTTGCTTCCAGAGTTCAGCTTAGGGCGCAGTGGACACCTGGTCCCTTTCCACTTTTATTGTAACAGTACATGGGCACTAACCAGTCAGCTGGGACCGAGTCCCTAGAATGAGGCGACATTTTTTCCCCCTTCCCCACATTATCACTGTACCCATAGGGGTCCAAGTCGTATTGGTTATATTCCGCCCCCCCAATCAGCTGTGGCTGTGTGTAAATGCGCAGTCACTCATAATAAAGGATAGCATCCTATTAGCCTTCTTGATTATGTGCTGTACCTGCATTTTGTGACTCATTTACCAGAAAGCTGAACTCCTTCTACACATTGGAATTCTGCAGTTGTTCTCTAAGTATTTATGTTAGATGTGGGGGATAAAACTCTGCTTTTATTTGTTGTAAGTAAAATGTTTGATACTTGGTTAGAAGTACATTTTGCTATTATACTGTTATATATTGTTAAAAGCTGTTCAAAGCTAATAAAAATACAGTCAAAATACAGTAGCTTAGCAATTTTCATAAACATTTTAGGATCATTGGATAGGTATTCCCTTTGTATTAATAACTCTGCATTTTAGTTAAGATTGAAGAAGCATTGTTAGCAAACATTTAGATGACAAGCACAAGAAGTGTTAAAATATGAAGAACTTTTTATCATCCTTTTCAAAGTGTTTACTGTCGCAATTTTTGCTGAAAAAAGACATATTGTGCAAGAACTTTATTCTGTATTTTCCACCACCAAGAAAACACTCGTGGCTAGTGAATTGGTCGCTTTTCATTGCCTTAATAGCATTCCACTTTCAATCAAACAGCAGAATAATTTCAAACCTTTCACATGCGCCATGGTCACTGAACACTTGCTTACTAACTCTTTCCAATGCTATAATAACAGCATGACTAATTACGCTGTTATGTTCTGATTGGCCTAGACTAAGCAAGCCCTATTGCTAATTGGTTTAAGGGGATGCATGTTCAATGTCTAATTGGCTACTAAGGTGATCGACATTGATGTCACCTTCCACTATATCCTGATTAGTTCCTAACGAGCCAGGAATACACTATGTCTATCTTATTCAATCTTGAAAGTCTGGATCTAAGCTGCATGTAAGCCAAACAGGCCTCCCTCAATCTTACAGCTGTAAATCTAAAACCTTAGGTTATTGTCTTCACTCTGTTCACAATTCCATGGTGTATTTCTTTGTCAAATGAAGCTAGGCAAAGTCGCATACTTTTACAGTGCTGGGATCTGCATTGACTATGCTTAGGCAAAATAATATAATCTTAATCGATCAATAAATGTACTTTAATTGTGTAATTGTAGTTAAACAACATCAAGCATGAACTCTTAGTTAGCCTACAAGCCTAAGCAATATTTTTAATCTTATGTTCAATTCCGCTCATAATAAAGGATAGCATCCTATTAGCCTTCTTGATTATGTGCTATACCTGTGTTTTGTGACTCATTTACCAGAAAACTGAAATCCTTCCACAACTTGGAATTTTGCAGTTGTTCTCTAAGTATTTATGTTAGATGTGGGGGATGAAACTCTGTTTTTATTTGTTGTAAGTAATATGTTTGATACTGGGTTAGAAGTACATTTTGCTGTTGTACTGTTATATACTGTTAACAGCTGCTCAAAAGTAATAAAAATACAATCAAATGTAGCTTAGCAATTTTAATAAACATTTTTAGGATGATAGGGTAGGTATTCCATTTGTATTAATAACTTTGCATTTTAGTTAAGATTGAAGAGGCATTGTTAGCAAACATTTAGGTGACAAGCACAAGAAGTGTTAAAATATGAAGAACTTTTTACCATCCTTTTCAAAGTGTTTACTGAAGCAATTTTTGCTGAAAAAAAGACATATTTTGTTGAAGCTTTTCAATGTGCACTCATCATGACAATTCATAAGGGAATTCCCCAATACAAGGGATAATTAACATTTATAGTGCTTGAAAAGAGATTGCTGATGGTTGGGAAGTAGACTCTGATTGGTACAGGCATTGCCATAGTTAATGCACCAGTTAATGATAATTAACAATTAATTGCCAGACTTTGTCTAAGTTTAAACCAGGCACATTGATCAAGGCAATACCCTGAGAAATGAAACACTAAATGGCTGTCACCTATTTTGTTGAGTTGAAATAAGCACAATTTGTGGCATGTTCCAGATTTTCTGCAAAGAACAGGCCCCAATACAATAACAAATTTTTTAAAATGTACCTTCCAACACACACAAGTGCAGCGCGCTGTGAGACTGACATACTGACAATGCTAAATTTGTTGTCAGCATAATTATTTGACGAAATGCAGTTTTTCCAGCAATACTCAAATTTTCTACCATCGAACAAATATAATTTTTGCTATTAATAGTCAAGCAGATCCCTATAATAATTCGTATTTAGAAGTTTCTTTTTAAAAAAACCCTACTTAATATGTAATACAGAAAAACAATCATTGTATGCACTGTTAAGCACTGTGTACAAAATAAGTCAGTATGACTACCCCTGTGCTTTAAAGAAATAAGTAACTTCTTTATATTGCATGTAGGAACTAGAGAATGATGTGGCTTTTCAACAAGCTTTGAGGACTAGCCATGGAAGAAGACCACCAGTAAGTGAATAACAAGAATCATTGTACTTAGGTAAATTTAATCAAATTCTTTGACAAAGTGTAACCTTCTGCCAACTCCATCTTGCATATAAAAATTGAAAGAACTGTGGATGCTGTAAATCAGGAAAAACAGAAGTTGCTGAACAAGCTCAGCAGGTCTGGCAGCATCTGTGAAGAAAAAATCAGAGTTAACGTTTTGGGCCCGGTGACCCTACCTCAGAACTCAGTCATTGGACCTGAAACATAAAATCAGAGTTCTGAGGAAGGGTCACCGGGCCCAAAACGTTAACTCTGATTTTTTCTTCACAGATGGTGCCAGACCTACTGAGCTTGTCTAGCAACTTCTGTTTTCGTTCCATCTTGCATATCTTGGCCAAGCTTAACATTGTCCAAGGATGCAGTTGACGTCTAAATTTCTGCCAGTGAAACACTGTATGAGGTTACATTAGTGCTGCTCGAACAGCTTGCCTATCTCTTTCCTTTCGAGATTATATTGCTCTGTTCCACCATTTCCTCACATGACAATGGCTGACTTCAACAGTGCTGTTTATCATTGGTACTATCCAGTGTTCCACAATTCATAAGAACATAAGAATTAGGAGCAGGAGTAGGCCATCTGGCCCCTCGAGCCTGCCCCGCCATTTAATAACATCATGGCTGATCATTTTGAGACTCGGCTCCGCTTATCCGCCCGTTCACCATAACCCTTAATTCCTTTACTGTTCAAAAATTTATCTAGCCTTGCCTTAAAAACATTCAGCGAGGTAGCTTCAATTGCTTCACTGGGCAGGGAATTCCACAGATTCACAACCCTTTGGGTGAAGAAGTTCCTCCTGACCTCAGTCCTACATCTGCTTCCCTTTATTTTGAGGCTATGCCCCCTAGTCCTAGTTTCACCTGCGAGTAGAAACAACCTCCCTGCCTCCACCTTATCTATTCCCTTCATAATCTTATATGTTTCTGTAAGATCTCCCCTCATTCTTCTGAATTCTAATGAGTATAATCCCAGCCTACTCAGTCTTTCCTCATAATCCAACCCTCTCAACTCTGGAATCAACCGAGTGAATCTCCTCTGCACCCCCTCCAGTGCTAGTATATCCCTTCTCAAGTAAGGAGACCAAAATTGCACACAGTACTCCAGGTGTGGCCTCACCAGGACCCTATACAGCTGCAGCATAGCCTCCCTGTTTTTAAACTCCATCCCTCAAGCAATGACAGACAAAATTCCATTTGCCTTTTTAATTACCTGCTGTCCTGCAATCCTACTTTTAGCGATTCAGCACAGCAGCGTGCTGCAGTTTTTTACCATTTAAAACATAGTCCATTTTGCTGTTATTCCAACCAAAATGGATGACCTCACACTTATCAACATTGTACTCCATCTGCCAGACCCTTGCCCACTCACTTAGACTATCTATATCCCTCTGCAGACTTTCAGTGTCTTCTGCACACTTTGCTCTACCACTCATCTTAGTGTCATCTGCAAATTTTGACACACCACACTTAGTCCCCAACTCCAAATCATCTATGTAAATTGTAAACAATTGCGGTCCCAACACTGATCCCTGAGGCACACCACTAGCCACTGACCGCCAACCAGAAAAACACCCATTTACCCTGACTCTTTGTTTTCTACTAGTCAACCAATCCTCTATCCATGCCAATATATTACCTGTAATACCGTGCAACTTTATCTCATGTAGCAGCCTTTGGTGTGGCACGTTGTCAAATGCCTTCTGGAAATCCAGATACACCACATCCACAGGTTCCCCATTGTCCACTATGCAAGTAATGTCCTCAAAGAATTCCACCAAATTAGTTAAACATGACCTACCCTTCATGAACCCATGCTGGGTGTTCCCAATGGGACAATTTATATCCAGATGTCTTGCTATTTCTTCCTTAATGATAGATTCAAGCATTTTCCCCACTACCGAAGTTAAGCTAACTGGCCTATAGTTACCTGCTTTTTGTCTACTTCCTTTTTTAAACAGTGGCGTCACATTGGCTGTTTTCCAATCTGCGGGAACCACCCCAGAATCCAGTGAATTTTGGTAGATAATTACTAGTGCATTTGCTATTTCCCCCCTCTTTTAGTACCCTGGGATGCATTTCATCAGGGCCAGGAGACTTGTCTACCTTTAGCCCCATTAGCTTGCCCAGCACTGCCTCCTTAGTGGTAATGATAGTTTCTAGGTCCTCACCTGCTATAGCCTTCTTGCCGTCAGTTTTCAGCATGTCATTTGTGTCTTCCACTGTGAAGACCGACACAAAATAACTGTTTAATGCCTTGGCTATTTCCTCATTTCCAGTTATTAAATTGGCCTTCTCATCCTCTAAAGGACCGATGTTTACCTTTGAGACAACAAGGTGCAGGGCTGGATGAACACAGCAGGCCAAGCAGCATCATAGGAGCAGAGAGGCTGACGTTTCGGGCTTAGACCCTTCATCAGAAAAGGGGGAGGGGGAGGGGAAGGGGTATCTGAAATAAATAGGGAGAGAGTGGGAGGCGGATAGAAGATGGATAGAGCAGAGGATAGGTGGAGAGGAAACAAACAGGTCGAAGAGGCGGGGATGGGGCCAGTAAAAGTGAGTGTAGGTGGGGAGTTAGGAAGGGGATAGGTCAGTCCAGGGAGGACGGATAGGTCAAGGGGGCGGGATGAGGTTGGTCGGTAGGAGATGGAGGTGCGGCTTGAGGTGGGAGGAGGGGATAGGTGGGAGGAAGAACAGGTTAGGGAGGCAGGGACGAGCTGGACTGGTTTTGGGATGCGGTAGGGGGAGGGGAGATTTTGAAACTTGTGAAATCCACATTGATACCATTAGGCTGCAGGGTTCCCAAGCGGAATATGAGTTGCTGTTCCTGTAACCTTCGGATGGAATCGTTGTGGCACTGCAGGAGGCCCAGGATGGACCAGGATTCTCCAGCATCTGCAGTTCCTACTATCTCTGATTCGATGTTTACCTTTGCCACTCTTTTACGATTTACATATTTAGAGAAACTTTTGCTGCCTGTTTTTATATTCTGAGCTAGTTTACTCTCATAATCTATCTTACTTTTCTTCATAACTTTTTTTGTGGCTTTTTGTTGGCCTTTAAAGATTTCCCAGTCTACTAGTTTCCCACTACTCTTTGCTTTCTTGTATGTGTTTTTTTATCAATCTGATACTTTCCTTTATTTCCTTTGACATCCATAGCTGACTGTCTCTTCCACAGTTCTTCCTTATCACTGGAATATACCTCTGCTGAGCACTGTGAAAAATCGTTTTGAATGTCCTCCACTGTTCCTCAATTGACCCACCATAAAGTTTTTGCTCCCATTCTACCTTAGCTGACTCCTCCCTCATCCCATCGTAATCTCCTTTGTTTAAGCACAGGACATTGGTACTGGATTTAACCTTCTCACGCTCCATCTGTATTTTAAATTCGACCATTCTGTGATCACTCCTTCCGAGAGGATCCCTAACTGTGAGATCATTAATTATTCCTGTCTCATTACACAGGACTAGATCTAGGATAGCTTGCTCCCTCGTAGGTTCTATTACATATTGTTCAAGGAAATTATGGCGGATGCATTCTATGAACCCCTCCTCCAGGCAGCTATGACCGACCTGGTTTGACCAATCGATATGTAGATTAAAATCCCCCATGATAATTGCTGTACCGTTTTTACATGCATTAGCTATTTCTATGTTTATTGCCCGCCCCACCACGATGTCATTATTTGATGGCCTATAGACCACACCTATCAGTGACTTTTTCTCCCTGCTATTCCTAATTTCCACCCAAATGGATTCAACCTTTTGTTCAGTAGAACCTATATCATCTCTCACTACCGCCCTGATATCATCCTTAAAAATCAGAGCGACACCACCTCCCTTACCTTCCTGTCTGTCCTTCTGAACAGTTTGATACCCCTGGATATTTAACTCCCAGTCATGACCATCCTGCAACCATGTCTCTGTAATGGCCACTAAATCATACCCAATTGTCATGATTTGCACCGTCAACTCATCCACCTTGTTTCGAATTCTCCGAGCATTCAGATAACGTGGCCTTATGTCAGTTTTTGCACTTTCTTTTTGAGTCCTATTACCTCTATTACTAACAGCTCTTGAGTTCTCCTTCCCTTTAACGTTTTTACTAATTTTCAATGGAGTTGAAGCTTCCTCGTCACCTGCTAACCTGCTGCTTTGCCTTCCATTAATTGTTATACTCCCTGGTACGCTCACTCCTCCCTTCCCCCTACTTACTAGTTTAAAGTCCTATTAACCACTCTATTTATCCTTTTTGCCAGAACACTGGACCCGGCCCTGTTGAGGTGGAGTCCATCCCAGTGGTATTGATCCCTCCTGGCCCAGAACTGATGCCAGTGCCCCACGAAAAGGAAACCTTCTTTCCCACACCACTCTTTTAGCCACGTGATTACTTCCCTGATCCTCGCCTCCCTATGCCAATTTGCACGTGGCTCGGGCAGCAATCCAGAGATCATGACCCTTGAAGACTTGTTTTTTAATTTTGTTCCTAGCTTTTCATAATCCCAAAACAGGTCTTTTTTCTTAATCCTGCCGATGGTGTTGGTACCTATGTGGACCACAACAACTGGATTCTCCTCCTTCCTCTCTAGTGTCCTCTCAAGCCGGTCAGAGATGTCTCGCATCCTGGCACTGGGCAGGCAACACACCATGCAGGACTCTCTATCCTGCTTGCAAAGGATACTGTCTATCCCCCTGATGATGGAATCCTCTACAACTACAATCTGTCCTTTAGCTCCCTCCTCTTGAATGGCTTCCTGAATCATGGTGCCATGGTCAGTTGACTCATCCTGTTCCTCATCCACGCAGGGAGCAAGTGCCTCATACTTTGGGACAATGTCGAGGGCTGCGGCTCCTGTGTTCCTGTCTGCAGGGTCCCTCTACCTGCCTCACTCGCAGTCACACACTGCTGTCTCTGGCCGCTGATCAAATTAACATTAGTTAATCTACTAGGTGTGACTGCCTCCTGGAACACAGCATCCAGGTATCTCTCCCCCTCCCGGATGTGCCGCAGTGTTTGGAGTTTGGATTCCAGCTCACCAATTTTGAGCCAGAGCTCCTCAAGCAGCCAACACGTGCTGCAGATGTGGTCACTGCTGTTCTCAATGGGATCAGCTAGCTCCCACGTTACTTCCCAAATTTATTGGGTGAAAGATAACCGTTACCCAGCCGACCACTTGCACCTGCTCTGGGACTCCTCCTCTGCTGAACAACTGAAGGCCACAGTCACGCGAGGTAAGACTTTTATAATGAAAGCTTACCTTCTCGGCTGCCCTCCTGCTCTCTCCCGGATTCCTGCCACTGAACAACTGAAGGCCGCAGTCACACGAGGTAAGACTTTTATAACGAAAGCTTACCTTCCTGGCTGCCCTCGTGCTCTCTCCCAGACTCCTGCCGCTGAACAACTGAACTCACATTCTATGACAATGATGTGACTCAGCATACCATATTAGTGTATCACTATGAGCTTATTCACTCTCTTGTTTGGTCTACCTATTTACTTGTAAGTGAGTGATTTAAAATAAATGGCATATCTCTTTGTAATGGAAAGTCTAAGTATAACTGGTATTAATATATTTAGCATATTACTGAAACAGCTCAGTACTTTACAAAGTAACGTCGGAATTGTTCAGGTGTAGATCTATGCCAATCAGCATTTATGGTTTTTCACAGAAGTTATGGGATTTAGGAAAAGATTGCTAAGAGAGCTAAAGGTTGCTAAAGATTGCTAAAACTTGTGGAACATCTTTGAAGCCTAAGATTACCAAATATATTTTAACAATTATTTTGTAGATGACTGCGAAAATACCAAGCACTGGAGCAGTTGTACGTTCCTTTGGGAATATGGGGGTATGTACAACATTTTAAACAATACTATGGAATAGTTTCCAATCACTAAAAATTAAATGCAGATGACAGTTTAATTCAGACAAAATGTAAATGGACAGTGAGCTGGTTTTGGAGTTGGAAAAAGTACTTGCTGAGGAATATGTATTTTTCTGAGGATATGAATAAACCACACAGGGAGTTATGTCCTGTTCTTCATCAATATCTTCCTTTCTGAAAGTAAGTAGTTATGAGTAAAAAAAAAGTTAAATATTCCAATTATGCTTCTTGCTTTAATGCACACATAAAACCTTTTACACAGTATTTTGCATGCTTACATTTGGGTTCATAGATTTCAGTTTTATATTAAATTACAATGAAATTTTTGTAAGCATTTTTTATTTATGCAGTTATTAGTAGTTCTTTCCCTGCATCACATCTTGTACGTGTAAATGCTTCAATAAGTATTCTCACCATTTATTTCATTTTGAATTTACTGGCAAAATCATAAAAATGTGTTTTACATGGAACATAACTTCTACATCATCTAACTTTTCATGAGCATACTGTTTGGGTGAGTGGATGATTTCCCATGTTGTTGCACCAAGTAATGGAGATAGCTTTCCATCTTACTTGTCTCTACTGACCTTGTGTTTCAGTGTCTCTCTTTGTATCTCTTCCTCTGGTCCTAATTTCTCTTTTCCTTCTCTCCCTTAGAGATGAGTTACAATTACTTCTAGTAAGTCCTTGGGATTTACACCATTAACTCTGTTCTTTGTCGCAGGTTCCATCTCCCTTCCTGACTGCTGTCTCAAGCTGTGTCACACTGTTCAAACCCCTATCGCCGTAATTGACCCTGAGCTAAATGTTTGATCCCAATATCCTCCACCAATTGGACTGCCAGCCTCCAAATCAGCAATATTGCTTGTTTCCACTCTTACCTCAACTTATCTGATGTGAAATCGTCATTTACACATTTTCTTCCCCTGACTTTAATATTTCATGTTTTTCTGGCCAGTCTACCATCTTCCATTCATCCTAACTTGGTCCAGTTTTGTTATCCATCACCCTATGCCTTTTGACATACATTCATTCCAAAATAATTGATCACATGATTCTGTAATTCTTATGCTCAAATCCCTCAATGACCTTCCTGTCCCTATGTCTCGCCTACACCTGCAACTCTTCAATTTATCTGTGTTCTTCCATTTCTGGACTCCAGCGCACCTCTGATTTTCTTTGACCTTCCTTTGGTGACCGTGGTTACATAGCCATCTTGAAGATGCTGCTTAAGACCTTTTCAACCAAATATTTAGTCATATATCCTAAAGTATTTTCTGGCTTAGTGTCCATTATTACCTACTGGCATGGCCCTGTCTGTGCCATAATGACTCTGTGTAATATCTGCATGATTGTACTCTTGTGAACCAGCTTCAGGAATTTCTCTACAGAAAGTTGCTTTGCAAGTTATTAATTCCTGTATTTCTTCTGTCTTTTTATATGCTTTCTTTTTTATCTGCTGTTGGATGGGAAGCAATGCAAAGGTTTAGGGAAGTCAAAGAAGAATCAGGGAAGAAAATCTGGCCACCTTTCTGTGTATCTGCCTGTTCGTTCTTTTATAGATGTTAGAAGTCAACTTGGTTCTTGGGAGGACAGGTTGAGCAGGGCAGGCTTGGACTCATTTGAGTTTGGGAGAATGTGAGGAGATTTTCTTGAAACTTATAAGTTCTTAGGAGGTTCGCAGGGTAAATGTGGAGAGATTGTTTCCCTGTGTGAGAGGAAAGCACCAGAGAATATGCCCTTTGAATAAGAATTTGCACATTTAAGACAGAAATGAGGAGGAATTTTCTTCTTTCAGAAAGAGATGAATCTGTGGAATTCTTTACTGCAGAGGGCTGTTCAGGCTGAGTTGTTAACTATATTCAAGGCTTTCATATGCATTTTTAAATTGTGAATTTTCATTAAGCAGCTACTTTGGACATTCCCTTCAGCCAGATAAGTATACACAATTACAGACCTCAAAAATACAACTTTTACTGTTGTATTAAAAATGACATTTTCCATATGATTTGACTTACCTGTAAAGTAATCTTTTACGTCTTTTGTGTACCTCAGCTAACGTTTTTTGCCAGAGGTTGCAGCTTTTCCTAAAAGCCTAGCATTTGAGCTGATAGATTTTTTAAATTAGCCTGTTCAGATATGTTATGATATGTCTTAGGAACAGGTGGAACTTGAACCCAGTCTCCAGGCTAAGAGGTAGGAGCACTACCACAATGCCACAACAGCCCTCAGTATTTGAGCTGGTTGGTTTTTGGAAATCAGTCATCTCAGCTCCTGGACATCTTTGCAGCCGTTCCTTGGGGTATTTTCTAATCAACCTGTTCAGAGATGTTATTACACACCTCTGGAGTAGGTGAGACTTGAACCCAGGCATCCTGGCTAAACAAATTACAATTGTTTTAACACAGTTTCTTAAAATATGCCTTTATGGAAATGCTGTGCACAATTTCTAGCTACATGCCCAGATGACCTTTTCTGGAGCCTTTGCTTCAACAGTGCATTGGCCTGACAGACAAAGATTTCCTCCCTGTCATCTACAGCAGAATATGTTTTTTCTATTTAGTACCCACAACATATTAAAAATAATGTCAGAAAAAAGAAGTTAAGTTGATATTGAAGTACTCGCTAAATACGAACATTTTCTCAAAATTAATTTCATAGTACTTCAGTTGTATAATGTATTACTATATGCAGTGTATCTAAACAAGTGTTTTCCAAATGTAGGCAAGAGTGCCTTTGGCCTCTTCAGTGGGAAGGCCTGCAACGGGAGCTATTCAGGTAAGAAAGTAATTAAACTTTTAATTATCTGCTGAGCACAGCATTTAAAAATAATAGTTGTCATTCTCATATTGGCAGATTGTGACTAGGAGGAAACCGCAAGTATCGGTATTTGGTCCAAAGCTGTTTACAATGTATAGCAGTGATTTTGATGTGAGGTCCAAATGTTAGGTTTCCAAATTCGTGGATGATACAAAGCTAAGCAGGAGTCCAGAAATGGAAGAACACATAAATTGAAGAGTTGCAGGTGTAGGCTAGACATAGGGACAGGAAGGCCATTGAAGGATTTGAGCATAAGAATTACAGAATCATGTGATCAATAATTTTGGAATGAATGTATGTCAAAAGGCATAGGGTGATGGATAGCAGAAAGATGTAAATTGACTTCAGGAGGTTTTTGGGCAGGCTTAGTGAATGGCCAAGAACATGGCAGATAGAATATAATGTGAAGTTATCCGTATTGATACAGTAGGAGGAACAGATCTGCAGAGTAATTCTTACTTTGTAAATGGTGAAATGTTCCGATGTACAAAGAGACTCCTTCATGTTAAACACCATTTGGAGCAGCCATAGATGGTGGCAAAGATGCGAATTATACTTTAGTGGGTGTCTTAAATGTCCACCACCAAAAGTAGCTCAGGACCACCACAACTGACTATGCTGGTCGGGTGCTAAAGGACAAAGCAGCTAGTCTGGTCTGTGGCAGGAGATGACAGAAGCAACAAGAGAGAAAAACTTACTCATCCTCATCTTCACCAATCTGCCTTTTGCACATGCACCAGTCCATGACAATATTGGTATAAGTAACCACTGCATAGTCCTTGTGGAGAGAAAGTCCACTCTTCATATAGAATATTCTATATAGTATTGTGGGGAAATATCACTCTGCTAAATATGATAGACCCTCTGAATCCCTTCCCAAAAGAAAAGCCTATCCACCATCTACAAGGCAAAAACAGGAGTTTGTTGGAATACTTGCACCATGCAGGACAAAGCAGCCTACCTGATTGGCACCACATGCACAAATGTTCACCCCTCCAACACAAGCACTCAGAAGCAGCCGAGTGTGCCCTCTACAAGATGCACAGCAGAAATTCATCAAGGCTTCTGAGACAGCACTTTCCAAACCCACAACCACTTCAACTATGAAGAAAAGAACAGTAGATGCGTGGAAATACCACCACCCTCAAGTTCCCCTCCAAACCGCTCAGCATTCTGATTTGCAAGTATATCCCATTCCTTCAGTTTTGCTGGGTCAAAACCCTGGAACTCCCTCCCTAACAGTACATTGAGTCTATGCGAACCAAATGGGCTGCAAAAGAACGAGAAGGCAATTTCTCACCATCACCCTCTTGGGGGAAACCAAGTATGAGGAATAAACGCTGGTCCAACTTAGCAGCACCCACATCCCGTGAATGAATAAAAAATAATGTTATTGCCAATAAGTCACTGAAGGCTAGCATGCAGTTCAGCAAATGATTAAGAAAGCTAATGAAATGTTATCCTTTTTTGTAGGAGGATTTGAACACAGAAGTTGTGGCATCCTGCTTCAATTGTATCAAAGCTTGGTTAGACTGCACATGGAGTACTGTGTGTAGCTTTGGTATCCTTCCCTCAAGAAGCAAATTATTGCGTTAGAGGGAGTGCAACAGCGGTCTACCAGACTTGTTCCCAGGATGGCAGGACCACTCTAAGAAGAGAGAGAGGGCAAATCAGGCCTTCTCTAGATGTCCTGAAGAATGAGACATGATCTCATTGAAGCTTAACAAAATATTCAAAAGATTAGACAGGATAGGTGCAGTATCTTAGGGTTGAGATAATTGGCCTTCAACAGTCTCCTGGTTTCCCACCTTGGGGAGTCTAGAACCAGGGTCACAATTGAAAAATAAGGGAAATGCCATATAGGGCTGAGATGAGGAGAATTATTTTTATTCAGAGCATTGTGAACCTTTTAAATTCATTACCCCAGATGGTTGTGGAAGCTCAGTATTTGAGTATAGAATCATTGAATCCCAACAGTGTGGAAGCAGGCCATTCTCCCCATCAAGTTCACGCTGACCCTCTGAAGAGCATCCCACCCAGACATGCCCACCTACCCTAACTCTGTCCATTTAAGGTAGAGATTGGTAATCAGGAATCTATCAATCAATGTCGTAAAAGGTTATGAAGTTGATGTGCGGAAAAGGCATTGAAGTTTTCAATCAATCATGGTTATTTTAAATGGCAGAGCAGGCTTTACAAGCTGAACGGTGTGGTCCTATCCCTGAGTTTCTGTGTTCTTAAAAAACAGATCATATAATGTCATTTTTTATTATATAATTTACTGCACCCTTATCATCAAGCCAGGATTCAATGCAGAGTTTAGAAGAAAGTGTCAAGAAAGACAACAGGTATACGTAAAAGTGAAATATCAACCTGGTGAAACTACAAGACAGGACTACATGTGTGCCAAACAGTGTAAGCTGCAAGTGATAGACAAAACTAAGCAATCCCACAACCAGTGTTTCAAATCCATGTTGTGCAACCCTTTCATTGTTATTTAATCAATTATAAGTTGAGTATTGTCATTTTAACTATTCTAACTTGCTCTTGTGGTTTTATGTTACAGAAGAATTTCAGGGAGAATGAATCATATTCTACAATTCATAAGCTATTGATAGCTTAGCATTATGCTGTTCATTTGTTCAATTTGTATTAAGGCATAATCGTTCTGTGTTGGTACAAAGCTATTTTGATTGTGCAACTATAGTTTTTAAAACAAAAAAAGGCAGTTTAAATAAATGTCAGATCTTGATCAGATTCTGTGGCTCAGTAGTTCCTGGACACCATTTCACACTTGAGTTTTTAATGGAAAAGTGAAAAGGCATTTCTGTACAAAATATTCAACTTTGTTTCTGAATGGGCACTCCTATTTGTGTAGATGGTAATGCTCACAAGTAGTCTCTGATTCTTAGGAATTTCTTTTATGATGCCCTAATTTAAATAATATTTTAAGGTCCATTATTATCTTGTCAGTGCCTTTATCTACTGTTTATTACATCTAATTTCTTTAAGTCCTCCCATATTTAATGAAATTGTAATACAAAATGACTGTGAAAAGTATTGCAGATAGTTAATGGCCATCTGTGTGAAGGAAAAGATAGAGGGATGATTTCTGGTTTGTAGTCCAGTTATCAGGATCAGCATTATACTTTATTTCATATGTTAAAAAATGGTCAGTAGTTTCATGGTGGTATGCCTGCAGCTGGTGCTGTGAATTAAAGTATGTGGCTCAATTAAATCATGGGATTTCATCTAATGTTACCCAACATTGTACATTACTGAGAAGATATTTAAAATGGATTGTATGTAGAAACAATTGTACAATTTTGGAGATAGCAAGAACTGCAGATGCTGGAGTCAGCATCAATGCAGTGTGGAGCTGGAGAGAAACAGCAGGTCAGGCAGCATCAGAGGAGCAGGATAGCCAACGTTTTAGGTCAGGACCCTTCATCAGGACTTCATCATCCTGATGAAGGGTCCTAACTGGAAACGTCAACTTTCCTGCTCCTCTGATGCTGCCTGTCCTGCTGTGTTCCTCCAGCTCCACACTGTATTGAATTGTACAATTTAACAATTGTAACAGTTGTAGAAAACAATGTGTATCTATTATCTTAGGAATATAGGAACAGGAGTAGGCCATTCAGCCGATTGAGCTTCCCCCATCCTTCAATATGGTCATACTGATCAAACACTTTTATCTTTTACTTACAACTGTATGCATCATCGGTAATCTGAAATCTACCAATCTCTACCTTTAAGCTGCTCAAAGTCTGAGCTTCCATAGCCATCTAGAGCAGCGAATTGCAAAGGTTCACAGCCTTCTAAGTAAAAAAAAGTTGTCCTCACCTTGAACCTAAGTGGCATCTCCCTTCTTTCAAAATTATGGCCCGGTTCTCGACTCCCCCAACCAGGGAAAACATCTTTCCTGAAACTAACCAATCTATCCTTTTAAGTATTTTATAAGTTTCAATGAGATCATCTCTCATTCTTCGAAAATCTTGAGCAAGTAGGCCCAATGTGCCTATTCTCTCCTTTTGTAGAACAGTTTCACCATCCTGGGAACGGGTCTGGTGAACCTCTGGTGCATACCCCTATGGCAATAGTATCTTTCTTGAGTTAAGGAGATCATAACTGCACACAGGAGTCCGTGAGCCATCTTAAATAAGCTACTATAAAGTTGAAAGAACACTTCAGTACTCCTGACTCAAATCCTCTTGTAATAAAGGCTGACATTCCATTTACCTTCCGAGTAGCTTGCTCCACTGGAAAGCCAACCTTCAGTGACTTATCAACAAGGGCACCATGGTCCCTTTGTACATTTACATGTTCCAACATCTTACCATTTAAGAAATATTCTGCACATCTGTTTCTGCTACCAAAGTAGATAACCTTACATTTTTCAACATTATATTTGATCTGCCAAGTTCTTGCCCATTCACTAAACCTGTCTAAATTTTCCTGAAGTCATTTTATATCTTCCTTGCAATAAGCAGTCCAATTTAGTTTTGTATTGTGCACAAATTTGAAATATTACATTTGGTCCCAAATCCAAATCAATATATATTGTAAACAGCTGGGACCCATTTACTGAACTTTGTGGTACCCTACTAAATATAGCCTGCCAATGTGAGAATAGTTCATTTATTCCTACACTATGTGGTGTAGGTGACATTTTGCGAGGCCTATCTCTTTTCAATGCTGAAGGACCGCAACCAGTTTCAATATTGTTTTCTTAGTATGTTTTGCTCTGTCATTCATGTTTATATGTGGAGTAATTTATATGATTTTGCCTCCTTTCTACTTTGAAAGTGAAGAATGAATGCTGTTATGTACACTTTATCTTTAAGGATGGAATCACAGTTGCTAGACCTATGACAGCAGTACGTGCAGCTGGCTATTCTTCTGCAGCTTACAGAGGTCTGTTTCATTTGAAATATTTTAGAAGAAAATAATGGATCGAGGAAGCCTTCGGCTCTCTTTCAGCTCATCTGTGCAAAAATGTAGTTGTCTTTTCACTGTAGTTGTCTTTGCATTTTACTGTCCTAATCTGGGGGCCCATTCCGCATACTGATCACTGCTAGTGAAGAGCATCCTGATGTCAGTCCTAAATGTGTGCTTTTCTAATTTAACTTGTACTCGCAAGCATCTTTTTCTCTCTAATGAAAATACTTTTTAACAATTTATCTTTATCATGCTGTTTCCAATCCTGTGGATCTCATAGGTCAGTACGTATTGGATTTCTAAATCTGAATAATTGATAGAATTGCCAAACAGTAACGGCCCATACTCTTCCTTAGGTCGTCTCACTTAGTACTCTTTTTACTTCACTCCACTCCACCACCTCCAATTCCAATATAAATCATTTAACAAGTATCATGATTTTTTTCCCTTCCGGTCAATTTCATTTTCATTCCCACATTTTAGACAAATTCCAGTAGCTTTCACTAATAGGTTTTTGCCTACAAGATTCCTAACTGGATTCTGGAAGTGTCAGTATGACATATTGCAGGGCTTTCTGTGCTGTACTTATGACATTAGATTGATCAGTCAGAATATTTAGCTGCAGTTACTCATTGCACATTGTGTGTTCCTGTTGCATATGATAATTGGCGTTATTTTACGTGGGGCAGAATTTTACAGGTAGTGAGGTTTCTCATCCCTCACTTGAGAAGATGACCTTCATCAGAGCTGCTGGTCAATCTGTTAGAAATTCCATCATAGAATGTGGCCACCACTGGGAATGTGGGCAGACCTAAGTCCCATAACACAGTGGAGATTAATATGGCCTAGGAGGATGTGGCGGTACAGTAATAATGCCCCTAGACTCTCACTCCAGAGACCCAACCTTGAAGCTGTGTTGAAAACCCATTGTACTGTAATATAAACTCAGTACAAAAATGATCCTTTCGGGAATTAAATCTGCTTTCCTTGTCCGGCCTGAATTGGTGGCAGGGCCAAAATGCTGGCAGAGTCCTTTGTGTGATGGACTTAATCACGTGGAAGTGAGAATGCAGTGGGGTCCCTACCATCAAACTCCCCTCTGATTAAATACCCTCCCGCCATTAAATTTGGATGGGCTTAAATTTTGCCCACAGTTAAGATTTCGGGTCAATGAACTTTCGTCAAAAGTGCAAGGTCTAATGAAAGACTTGAAAGATTAACTCCATTTTTGTCTTAACAAATGCAGCCTGACCTGCTGAGCATATTTTTGTCTTTAAGATTTCTAGTATTTTGCTTTTCATTTTCTTATCATAATTGTCAGTGTCTCTCAAGTCTGTTCCTTGGTCTTTCCTAGCAGTTGAGATAAAGCCTATGGATAAATGGTATTTATTGTTTTTCAGCCTCAATAACCTATCTAAGAATTTACTTTCAGTTATTGTGTTTGCTTAGGATAACTGTTTGAAAGTAAATGTAACATTTCATCATATTTTTAAAAACCATATTTTGTTCATTTCAGGCACTACATTTGATCCACTGGGGCAATCAAGAGGTCCGGCTCCACCCCTTGAAACAAAGAACGAAGATACGTAAGTCAGACTACAAAACTACTTCACACCATGCGGCACTTAGTGTCAGAATGAATAAACATTCCTCTTAATAATTAATCATTCACTGATAATACAGTGGATCTTTTTTGTAATATTGAGATAAATGTTAATCCTTGCTGCCTGTAAAGTAAGCATTGTCTCGGCAAAACGCAGAAATTGGGTGAGGGGGTCACATACTTATGATAGAATCTGCTTGTGCTTCCATGCATGAGAGAAAAATCAGGTATATTCTTTTACTGGCGCTTTTACCACATGTTCCTTTTTGCACTTGACCTATATGATGTTTAGTGGCTCAGTGATAAAAGTGATGGGATTTTACACCCAATCTACTTCTTTTCTGTGAAATGTAACCATCTGGCCTCCAGAGAATTTTTAAGATCCAGACTGTAACTTTAGGGCAAGACAAAGGAAGCTCTGCATTGTTGGAGGTGCAATGTTTTGGATGAGACGTTAAATCAACATTCTGTTTAATTTCTCAGATAGGCATAAAAGATTGTATAGCACTAAACAAAGAAGACTACTTAAGTTTTCTTGGTATCCTGCCCAGTAAGCATCCCTCAACCAAAATCATTAAGGAAGTTTTTCTGAGAAGTCTTAATGGTCCATTTATATTTCATTTTATTTCATTATATTTATAATCCATTTATATTTCCTCCCTCATTATTTTAATGTAACTGGATAATGTGGAATATTTCCTAAGTAGCTTTTAAATGTATTTTCATTATAGGACTGGATATTATGCTAATTTTTGGCAACCTGTTAGCATTGGTGAAAATAATATTTTATGCAGAACACCTTTAGCTGTTTGACATAAATTATTGTTGCCCTCACCAAAATTTGTTATTGTGCTTCCCTATAATATTTTTTAGGCCAGAGGAAAAAGTTAAGAATTTAGAGAAGACTGTGAATGAATTGATTGAAGAAAGTTGCATTGCCAATAGATGTGGTGACCTACAATTGGTAAGAATCTCATCTGTGGAACATGTTCTATGAACATGTAAAATTAACAACCAGGAAGAAAACAATCTGGTCTTTTCATTCTGTCCCACATGTCGTGTTATGACTCAGTGGGGTAGTGTGCTGGAAACAAATCCTGCTATTCCCAGAGTTGTCTCAAAAAATTTTAAGAAATATGCAGAATTCCCCAATTTTGCTGTGTTTTCGACCCAGATTGTTAGAAATCATGACCAGATTCTGTACTTAACATGAATTACTGTTTAAAACAAGTAAATTGACTGTAGCTACAGGTAAACAATTATGAACTATCAGTTTTTAACTCTACTAGCTAAAACTCTAATCCCCTTTAAAAACTCCCCTTTACACACACATGCACAGGGTAAAGAACATGGGTGTTATAGATGGAGGGAAAACTGGTAAAGCAGTTCAGTGGTCTCTGTTCACAGGATCTGCTGAGATGGTTCTTGTGCACATCAGAATGCTGCTTTTCAGCCTTCCTTCTCCAGATGCTTTCACTGGTTTGCAGGATTTACAGGATGGCTGAGTAGCACTTGTAAAAGTCCCTGACTTATTAATTAAAATTCACAACGTACAGCAACTGCTGAAGGAAAAATAAATTGTTTTTCTTCAAACTTAAAGCAGCTTTCACCGCAGAGAATAGAGAGAGCACCTGAGCCGGTAGAGGTCAGATGTCTACTCACTATTCTGAACATAGCCCCAAGCTATTCAGCTATCGGAGAACCAATCACATGGCTTTTGTCATCAATAACTAGTTGCTGATCCACAGAGAAATCAACAACATGTTGCTGACTGAATCATTATTTGTACACACCCCTCCGTTCCAGTGCATTTGCAAACTGTGCTTCACCTACTGCTGGACCTAACAGCTCGTAAGTGATGCTTACAGTAAGTGTCAGGTTACATGCTTGTAAAACCTGCACTAATCCTTCAGCATTCGTTGGTTTGTAAAATAGTTTTTTTTTCATTTTAATCCACAATTTAAAAACATAGAAAACTGAAATGTCACAGTCTTTACACATGAAAGCTGGAGCATCATGACCAGACAAATCTCACCCTCGTACCCTTGTGTAATTTCCTGGGAAAGATAAAAGCACAGAAAAAAAATACTACAAATAAATAAAAAGTTATGTTATGGCAAATCCCTCTCTGATCTCCAAAGACTACGAAAACCTGCCAGAGATGGAAAATCCTTTGTTTTATTCTGTGAGTTAAGTTTTGAACATGAAAAGTTTCTAAATGAAACAACAATTCCAGACATAAATTAATTTCAACCAGATGGCTTAAGCTTTCTCATTGATGGTACTCTTAGTTCTGAATCTGGGAAGTTATTGCTTCAAATTGTACTCCAGGTCTTCTTGGTTGCCATGTCAGGTAGAATACTGAGAGATTGATGCATTATCAACATTCTTGTCCTTTGAGAAATTAAACAAAGACCCCAGGCTTTTTTTTTTCACCTTTTATATCTGTAATGTAGCAACATGTCTCAATGTCATAGAAATGAAAAAGAACACTTATAATGGTAAGATGAGGGGCAGAATTTTCCACTCCTTTAGTGACCTATGCAATGGCAAGAAATGTGAGGAAATGTAAGGAGGAACCAGTAGATGTAGTATCCTTGAATTTCTAAAAGACATTTGATAAGGCATCATATAAAATGTTAATACACAAGGCAAGGGCTCATAGACTTGATGATATTGTATAATAGCATGGATAGAAGATTGTTTAAAAGATGGGAAGCAAAGAGTTGAGATAAATGGTGCATCTACACATTGACAAGTTATGACTGATGGATTTCTTTAAAAAGCAAAAAGTTGCCTCATCCTTGGCTGAGGTGTAATAGATACCATTATTACTTGTACATGCCAGTGCAACTCCATAACTGAGTGGGCATATGTGAATTAGCATCTAGACCAGTCTAATGTATATTTTCTTCTCTGTTTTTGTTTATAGTACTTAGCATTCAATAAGAATTTAAAATAGGCACATGATCCGTTGAGTTTTTAAAATAGTTTTCTTTGAGATATATCTGATATTTACTTTCAGACTTTTAAAAAGTTCATAATTCCTGTTGCTGTTTCAGGCCCTGGAAAAAGCAAAGGAAGCGGGGAGAAAGGAAAGGATACTGGTGAGACAAAGAGAGCAAACAGCATCTTCAGATCATATCAATCTGGATCTTACTTACTCAGTGAGTTAGCTATTGAATATCAGCATTTGCTGTCTGAGATTCTTTGTGAGAGTAAAATCTGGCTGGAATATGATGCTTAACACTGATAAACACAACATAAGTATACAATTACAAGAAAACTTTAAAGTAAATATTTTATGACCAATGGTATTGAGAATTTTAGTATAACTTCAGCCATGATTAATATGAAATTAATTTATCCGTAGGTACTTTTCAATTTAGCCAGCCAATATGCAGCCAATGATATGTATGCAGAAGCTTTAAATACCTACCAAGTGATAGTGAAAAACAAAATGTTCAATAATGCAGGTACGTTTGAAGTATTGTACATTTTTAAAGAATTCGTGGATGGTTTATTGTTTGAGATGCACTTTATATGTCAGTAACTGTATGTACGTTGAAAATGTTGTGATTTTGTTGCATTTTAAAACTAATAACTGATGTTTATTAAGCTCTTAAAATTATTATTAAATATGATGAATAGCTATTTAGGAAACTGTTGAAACTGCTTAACGTTGAGTAATGTATTCTCCAGTAATTTACTTCAAAGTATCAAAAGAATTAGTGTAACAACAAATACAAAAGCAAACCTTAAAATGCTAGATAACAGAAACTTATGAAAATGTTGTTTGCAAAAAACTAGAACAACATTTAAAGGAATTATGCTGTTGTTTGTGACAAGCATTTGCTGCTGACACATGTATTTCAATAATTACACAAAATTTGCTTGTTTGTATCACTTAAAAAAACAAGATAACAAAATAGGAATGCGCAATGAGACATGCAATGATTTGTAAATTAACATTCTTTTAAATTTTGTTATATTTACATATGTTTGAAACAATGAAATTTGATGATTGAAAAACTATTTAGTTCTTACTGTTGACAGAATGATTTCAAATTTGTGGTTGCAATAAATTCTGACCATCACTGATGGCTATTTTGTATGTAAATTATGTCATCCTCTTCATAAAGTAATAAAATTCTGATAGTGAAATGTACAGTTCAATTTTGACAATCAGACTTGTTGATTGACAAAAAGCTTGATGACTGTCTTGAAAATACGTTGCTCAATTTCGAAATGAAGGGAAATTTTAATGGTCAAATAGGGCTGAATGACTTGCTGCCTTGTGTGTTTGGGGATTTTCCTTTTGAAGTTAAACTGTTGCCATATTTAAATGTCTGGCTGGACACCACATCAGATGCCTTAAGCCAGGAACAGCTTGTCACACTGTGGGATTTGCCTCTAAACTCCAATCAGATGACACAGAACAAATTAAGCTTGCTCCACATTTCCCAGAGATGGCTCTTGAGGCATTAAAATAGAGGGTGACAGAAAGAAGGTGAGTCCTTTACCAGCTGACTGCAATAAAAGATTAAGCCAGCTTGGGTAGAGATTATAGCATGGGTCAGTGTGGTCTCTACCATGAAATGGGACAGCCAGCAGTACAGAAAGGAGGTCCATGATCTCCTGAGCTCCTCGCGAGCAGATGGCCCATCCATCTCTTTCCTCCTTATAAAGGGCCATCACCGGTTCTAATTGAGCCACTGTGAATATATCTCACAAAGTCTACAGGCCTTGGTATTACATGCATCATGTCCCTCAAAGGCTCCCATTCACTTTATCCTCTACAAAAACTACACCTACCTGTGATCTCTGCTCCGAATCGTTGACTGGGGAAACCTTACCATGTCTCATGGTCATGAATGATCATGACCTGTTGTTGCATCAACTTCCACCATAATCAGTTCTTCTCTTTCTCGCATTGGAGGAAAAGCTGGTCCATAACAGTGCCAAGAGGTCAAGGCATGCAAGGGTGTGGCAGACATCATGCTCCTCACTTTGTATGAGGAGAACATACAAGAGAGGACTGGGAAGACCAGGACCGCTCATGTGGTGATAGGGAGTCAACTATGGACAATTAACCCAGTAAGCTCCATTGTATTGTGCTCCTCTATGATTACCACCTGCAGCACTAATTCATTCTTTTTCTCCACAAGCTTTTATCCGTCTTCACTGAGTTCTCTTCTTTATGCAGGCACTAGAGATACCCAGGGAACCACCAGAAGTAATTCAACAGCTGCATTTCTGAGGAGGAAGCCTGCAGGAACTCAGAGGATGCATTAGGACACATTCATCTGCATCCTCCACTGGCTCAAGACTTTTACCTTGATGGTTATTCTATCAAGGTTAGACTTGGGGGCACAATTTCGTGAGTGCATCATTGACACACGTTTGCAGCAAGTTTAGGAAGAAATCCCACCAAGATCTCTGACACTCATTGGTCTGCCAGAGACCAGGCACCTGCTAAGCCCTATGCAGAAGTTGTGTCTCTATTCTTTGACATAAGTGACATGGTCAGCTAGCAGACACAGGCAGTGGAACATCAGGAAGATATGTCAGGGGCACACAGAAATGAAAGATAGAGGAGATCTTCAGTGTTATCACTGCTGTGGTGGCTCCACTGTGTGAGTACCTGATTGTATCTAGGATGGTAGGGATGATGCTGTCCTTGGAGACCCAGCTTCAGCAAAATGCTCTGTGACTGTTGGACATGTGCGTACACTCTATTGCTTTATCCATGTGTGCTAATCATCAAAAGCAAGGCTACAGAGGGCAGAGGGACCTGTTCTCATTCTAGGTTCCCTTCCTCTCAGGGAGACAGGGTGGTGCCAGCAGGCATTTGCATTGAGAAGTGACACACCAGCACCTCTGGAGCATTCTGAGAAGAAGCTTCTGATGTGCCCTGGTCCTCTACCTCCCCAGTCTGTGAACCCAAAGTCTCCAGCAGTTCAAGCCAAAGAGGGTGGGCATTTATATGTGCAGGCTTGTGGCCTCTAGTTAAAAGCCTCTATTTGACATCTGCTCAAATATTCCAAATCAACAGTGTCAACCACAAAGTAGGCTTGTTCCATCCCATGTGTGGAAATCACGCCTGCGCCTAGACTTAGTGGGAGAGAAAGTAAGAAGAAAAATGCTGAGGGCACGTAGGTAGCACATGTGCTGCACCATTGTAAGTATACCATCACTTTTCTCAATATGCTTTCACTTGCACTGTTGTGTCTGCAGTAATATAAATTTTGCTATGGGACCTGGTTGAGTCATGCCCATGTGAGACACAAGTACCTCTTTATACATCCCAAGGATTTAAAATACTGCACCCACCAGCAATGCTCATTTCTCACAATCAACCATTGACTGCAGATAGTGTCATCAGTCAGGGATCTTTGAACCTTAACCTATGTTGCATGTGAATGTGGAGGACACGAAGGCTAAAGCCAATGTCCAGAAAATGTACCAGGACCTGGCCTCCACAGATCACTTAACATTTATGCCCATCTTATTAGAGTATGGAATTAGTAATGATTCCATGCATCTTTAAAGGGAAATGTTATTCATATGTATGGGCTTTTCAAGGGAGCACAGGGATGTTCAAGTCTGGGAAAAATTCAGTGGGCAGTTCACATGTGTACTGTTCCTCAGCACAGTGGTCTGCAGAAGAAAGCTGCACAAAGCACTGCCTCTTGCAGGTTAGATGCTGCCATAGAAGTTGGTCAATCATGTCAAGAAAACCTCTATGCATTCTAACACACTGAAGGGCTACAAATGAAGGAAGGATCAAATGGAGTTTTCTCAGGATTTATCAACTTGTTGGCTACAGATGACTCAAGTCATATCCCCACCAGTGGTTTCAGAACTCCATAGGCTTAGCACTCTGCAATTTTAGTCACTCGCTGCCACATTTTCCTTAACGTTGATATAAGGCAGCTTTATTTGGTTACTTCAATGTTAATTCAACTGAAGATATCATTTGCGCATTCACGCAGACAATGAAACATGTAATCTGCAAAAAAAAAGTTACACAAAGAAGAGGGGTGCCTGCCAGATGAGTAACTTAAATGCACAAATAATCAAATAAAGTCTGAATCCAGCTTATTCATCCTGGAAGTAGATGGCAATAAGGTAGTCTCTGGCCTTTTGAGCTCTCTCAAGCATTCCTCTGTCTCTCTGTTATGGTTAGACTTCCTGGTTAATGTCCTGATCATCCGTTTAATCCTCCAAGGATTGCTGTTGTTCCCCCATTTAATCTGCATCAGGGACATCCCACTTTGTGGACTCAAATTGTGAATGGCACTGCATACCTCAATGATAGGAGATCCCCTGTATGGGCAGTGCTCCAAAGCCCTGCCAGAGTGGTCCAAGCTTCAAAACCTCATCAGGAGGCCTGGAGTCTGTTGAAACAGGTTCCTTGTGGAAGCATGAGCAGTATTGTACCTTAGCTGTTCATCCGTCTGCGCATTTCCTAGACGTGTCATGAGTCAGGTCTGGAGAGGAGCACCTTTTGACTCCCAGCAGCCATCCCTGTATGGCTCAGCACCTTGGAAAGAAGCAGTCACCTGTGAGTGCTCCATTATAGACAAGACATGATACCTCCAAGATGTTGCTTTGATGGTCACAAATTAGTTGAACATTAAGGGAGTTTTTTTTTTCATTCATTCATGGGATTTGGACTTCAATGGCTGGATCAGCATTTATTACCCATTCCTCATTGCCCTTGAGAAAGTGGTGGTGAGCTGTGCCGTTGAACTGTTGCAGTCCATTTGGTATAGGTAGACCAATAAAACTGTGAAGGAACAATAATAAAAAGTTTCCAAGTCAGGATCATAAGTGGCTTGGAAGGAAACTTGCAGTTGGTGGTGTTCCTGTGCATCTGTTGTCATTGCCCTTCTAGGTGGTAGCAGTTATGAGTTTGGAAGGTACTGTCTGAGGACCCTTGATAAATTTCTGCAGTGCGTCTTGTTGATGATACACACTTGTTACTGAGTATTAGTGGTGAAGGAGTGAATGTTTGTGGATGTGTTGCCAGTCAAGCATGCTGCTTTGTCCTGGGTGGTATCAGACTTCTTCAGGATACTTGGAGCTGCACTGAGCACATTCCTGATTTGTGCTTTGTAGATGGTGGGTAGGCTTTTGGAGAAGACCCTAGGAGATGAGTTGCCTGCTGCATGATTTCTAGCCTCTGACTTTGTAGTGTCAATTTATACAGATAGTTCAATTCAGTTTCTGGTCAATGGTAACGCATGTGTTGTTGATGGTGAGTTATTCAATGATGGTAATACCATTGAAGGTCGAGGTTAGATTCACTCTTGTTGGAGGCAGTCATTGTTTGTCACTTGTGTGGGATAGTCAGCATGGCTTTGTCAGACGTAGGTCATGCCTAATAAATTTGGTAGAATTTTTCAAAGCAGTGATCAGGCTTGTGGTTGAGGGTAGTGTAGTTGATGCAGTTTATATGGATTTCATCAAAGTTTTTGTGAAGATCCTGTATGGGAGACTGGGTATCCAGGGTAACATGGCAATTTTGATCCTAAATTGGCTGAGTAGTAGACAGAAGGTGAAATAAGAAAAAGGCTGTTTGCGTAACTGGAAGCAAGTGTGCAGTGGCAAACCACATGAATCAGTGCTGTTTGGGGGAGGGTGGGGGCAAAGGAAATGATAAATAAGCTTGTGGATGCCACGAGGATTGGCTGAGTTGATAATAGTGAGAAAGAAGATCTTAAGTTACAGGAAGATAGAGACAGCTTGGTCAGATGGGCAAATCAGTGACAGGTGGAATTTAATGTGCATTCACATTTTGCCGGATTCCATCCTGAGTTCTGATTCCAAGCGCACAACAATGATATCAGCAGTGCTGATTTCCTTTACTGATAAGGTGGCTAAACATGCACCACAAAAAACGAACATGTTATTGGCATTCTTTGATTGCTAATCTCCAGACGAAATGAGAATTGAAGCAGGTAGATAGCACTGTTTAACAAATTAATGTATGATCACTGTAGTTTCCGCTTGCAGGACCTCAAAAAGAATGTCGCAAATTTGACCCCCATAGGAAGAAACAGTAACCTATCCCATCCATTTTGCATGCAGCCACATCCATTTTATGAACTTATTGCACAATTGACTTTTGATCTAATATGGTGAGGTTCCATCTATGTGTTTGTACAAGTAACTCACAGGCTCTGCCTGTAAGTGATCTACAAAATTCCCCAATTCTTCATGTTCTTTTTTGCATTGTTGTGCGTATGGCCTTGGTGACCTTACGGTCTCCCCTGTTTTGGTTAAGCCCCTTTACATTAATAGTAATGTGCTGGTTTACTTGACTGTAGGGGTTTCTATGTATTTGGTGACCATACACCTCCCTTGTAAAGGCCAGAGTAACTGTGACCTGCTTGAACCTCCAACTTGAGAGCACCCAGCTCCTCCAATTAACTGAGTTCTAAGCCTGCTGTCTCCAGTTCTCTCGTTTCACTGTCACTATTCCTCCTGTGACCCAGTGCAATGAGGCCCATCACCAGACTTGAGGTGCTCGCTTTTCCCAAGACGCCATGAAGAACCCAATATAAACCCCCTGACTATTAGCAACTAAACCCCACGACTGACTGTGGCCAACGACCAGACTGACTTGCTGGGATAACCTTGAACAATTGTAACTCAACCCCTAAAATGATCTCTCAAAAGTGACTCACATGACCTACGTGTAATCTCCAGACTGCTAACAGTTGATCTCAAGGATTGACTGAGGTTCAGTCCTCCGATTTCAAGGGCACTAATCCTTAGACTGACAAACAACCAAATGCCTGACAAATTGCTTCACTCCCTGCAGTTGAATTGGACCAGTTCTTTGTCTGACTATGGCATTACCCCTGACTGACTGGAGTCCACCCTCACCCCATTCAACACCATTCATCCTTGACTTGCACACATCACCATTTTCTGAAAGCACGTGCAAAGTAAGCTGCTGGCATTTATTGCAGCTCTGATGTTGATGCTGCACCATGCTATGTACTGATGTGTCCACACTCTTTTTGACAGATATATTTTACTCCTTAGTGTTGTCTGTCACCATATGCTGCCTGCCTCTGCTGTGCTAAAACGCAGGCTAACATACATAAAATGCTTTGCTGTCCTTCAATGCAAAATGACCTGTCACAGGCATGCTAGCCCACCCTACCCCTTACAGTCAAGGGGAATGCTTGAAAGGTACAGTCAAGACCAACCGTGATGATGTTTTGAGGCTGGTGCTTTGCCAATGTTGAGATGCATGCATGAAGGGTGCAGGGGCAGTTTAGCCAATGGGCATGGAGGTACCTTGTGCAGGGGAAGTGGTTCAGTGGAAAGGATAGCCAGACTGCCAAAACAGCCATTCCATGAGATGCAATGGTTGTTATTGAGATAAGTCAGTAGGCACCTGCTCTGTGTTTTTGGTTGGGTTTATGCATTATCAGGTTTCTTGATAGTAGAGAGGAAGGCTGTAAGTGCAATTTAAACAGAAATGCAAATACATAGAAATAAGTTTCTCATGCCTGACAGTGATATTCTGAACTTGCCATCTGAGGCATGAGGATTTAATCGAGAGAGATCTGATCTTTAGACTCTCGTCCAATTAAGTCATCTTGTTCACTATAATTCTCACCACTTAAGGGAGGGGAAATTTCTGCATGTGTTTCTGTGTAATTGTTTAGAGTGGCTAGAAGGCATGTGGTCCATGTCAATTATGATTTGCAAATACTTTCAGATTTTCTTATGGGGTATCATACCATGTGCAATGAAATTAAGTGGCATTAAGACATTAAGTATGTATTGATTGTAGAATGGTCATTCTGTGATTTAAAGGAGAATAAATGTTAACAAGGAGAAATATGCCAGTCATCAAAAGCTAACCTGTTACTTTGAAAAGTTGAATATGTTTAATCAAGAGGTTTATAGAATTTATATTATACATATAATATATAAAAGCAAAGTACAGCTTTAATTATATATAGACCTAGTCAATCATCATTTGGAGTATTCTGTTCAGTTCACTATTCCTTAAAGAAAAAGGTCTGCTGCCCTTGGCAAAACATGGAAACAAATAAAGCTGTTAAGCCTCTCAGTTCTCTCGCGATAGTTAATTTGATCACCTCTGATCTGTACCTCAACTCTATTAGTTCACTTTTGCTTCAAATCCTTTGATGCATTTATCTAACAAAAAGTTCAGTTTCAGGTTTAAAATTTTCAATATATCTGGCATTCACAGCCTTTGAGGGGCAGAGAGCTTTAATTCCATTTTCTTTGTTAAAAAGTGTTTCCTTGTTTCACCACCAAATTGCACAGCTCTAGATATGGCAGCTTAATTTGGGTTCTCCACCAGAGGAAATAGTTTCCCTATATGCACTGTTTTGAATCCCTTTATCATTTTCATAGAATCATAGAATCAAAGAAGTCGTTTGGCCCATTGAGTCTGCACCAACACTCCAAACAGCGCCACCACCAGACTCACCCCACCACCCAGTTCCCATTACCCCTCATGGGGTTTTTACTATGGCTAAACCATCTAACCTGCACATGCCTGAACACTATGGGGCAATTTTTTAGGATGGCCAATCCATATAACCAGTACATCTTTGGACTGTGGAGGAAATCCCACACCCAGAGGAAACCCATACAAACACGGAGAACATGTCACCCGAGGCTCAAATTGAACCCTGGTGCCTGGCGTTGTGAGGCAACAGTGCTAACCACTGTGCCACTGTGCTGCCTTAAATTAACCACCTAAATTAGATTACTTCTCAATCTTCTTAACTCAAGAGAATATAACTCATACTGTGCAACCAGTCTCATAATGTTACCTTTTACAGCTATGTATTATCATGGTGAATCTGCCCCTGCATTCTTGGCTTTAGTTAGCCAAAACTGAATATGATTCTCCAGATGGACTTTGACAAAGTTTTGTACAGTAGAAGCATAACTGTATTCTAATCCCCTTGAGATAAAGGTTAATAGCCGTTTGATTAATTTTTGTGCCTATGCACCATCTTTTAAACATTTTTGAATATGAACTCCAAAATACAGTTTTTCAACAGCCACTTGTCTTTCAATATCATGACAATATATAAAGGTCTTTTTCCAATCTAAAGTTGCTAACCTCACACTTCTCCATGCTGAATTCCAATTGCCATTGTTTTGCCCACTCATGTAGCCTGTTGCCTTTGGCCTTTTGGTCTTTCGGCACTTTGTTAACTTGTGCCGCTTTCTACAAAATTCCTAAATCTCCTAAGTGTCTTCTGTAAACTTAGATATATAACTCCTTGTTTGCTCATTCAGGTAAGTAATATGTCTGATAAAAACCTGAATTTAAACAGTCAATCAGGGGTTGATATGTGGTATGAAAGAACTTAACTCTGTGGTAAGATTGGGCTGTGTTTCCCACAGAGGAGGCAGTTCCAGAACTAGAATACGTAATTTTAGAACATAGCATAAAGTGGTTAAAATGAAAAAAAATTTCAAAACTATGCTAACACAGAAGCATCATCGATAGATGTTTGAAAGAGAATAGATATTTGGGAAACTAAGATGTTAAAGGAAATGGCTGGAACTTGAATTCAGAAAAACTGCCATTGTTGATAAATTGACTTCATGAATGGTTTATTCCTGTTGCTAAGTTTACATAAGTGAAAGATTTCAATATTCTTTCTTCTGCAACAGAGCTTTAATAAAGTTTTTAAAATGTTACTTTTACTGGTAGGTCGGTTAAAGGTAAACATGGCAAATATTTACTTCAAGCAGAGAAATTATCCTAAAGCAATAAAATTTTATCGGATGGCATTGGATCAGATATCAAGTTCCCATAAAGAGATGAGGTGAGTATTAGTCGAACCATTATAATGAAGCAGCTTTTAAGTTTTAAGTTTATAGCATGACAATTTGTTTTTTCTTTCATTTGGTACTGCTCTTTCTCTGTGTCAGTAAGAGTTGACAGGTATATGATTGAGGAGAAAACTGCAGCAAATCTTACTCGGCCTGAACCAAACATCTACACACTTTACTTTCCAATAGAGGTGACCAAATATCAATCAGAAGATGGAACTCTGGTCTCTTCTTCATTCATCTTTATAACTCAGTGCTGAGGTCAATTGTAATGCCTTATCTGTTGCCCAATTTGAGACCAGCTTCACACCTTCAGATCAGTGTAACTTTGTGGTGCTTTCACTCTCCTTAAAACCTACTTCTTTGTCCTGACCTCTTTGATCTGACCTCTTTAGATGGCTCATTGTCAAATATTGTTTGATAATGCTTCTGTAAAGCATGTTGAAATATTTGTACAATGTTTAAGGCTCTATATAAATGCAATAATCTTGCATGCTTCCCCCCAGCTGCAGCCCATCTTCTGCTGAAACTCTCATTCTTGCCACTTTCAGGCTCTGCTGTTTCAGTGCTTTCTTGACTAGTATCCATAGCACATAGTTTGCACACCACCGCATCCAAATCTCATGTTGAGACATGCTCATCCATTACTCATCATAATCCACTTCAACCTACATTGGAGGTACTGGGGAACTAATTTAATATTCTTAGAATGCAAAGCCCAAAAATTTCCTTTCGAACTGCTTTGCTTTTTAACCTCTCTTATAACCTGTCTATTTGACCAAACTGTTGGTTGCCCTGCTATGTATTCTCTTAGTTGACATCCATTTTTGTCTGACTGTGTCTCTGTAAAGCTCATTCTGACATTTTTCTCTGTTGAAGATCTAAAAAATACTTACTCTTGCATAAAAAGCTCACTTCTGATACATTTTAAGTATTAGTTTCCAAAGTCTTAATAGCGCATATCTTGCATCAGTGGAATGGAGATTAACATATGTGAAATAACTCCACAGGTGCCGGTATCCCGTCATCAAGTTACCCTTTACTTACATTTGAACTATCCTTGACAATAGTACTGCCTCATACAGAGTCAGGCACCAGCATATCAGTTTCTTGGACACTCAAACTTTTTATGTCAGCCAGCATTCCCTGCTTGCAACAGATTAACAAGCCTAATCAGGGAATTTGTATTTCATGAGGACCAGATGGCTGGACTCATTACAGTCACTACAATAAGATCTTCCTACTGCTGATCGTGTGCACAATAGCAAATAAACAGAGAACATAATTGCTACTTAAGTTGAAATTGCATTTATATCCACTGAGGACACATACAATTAAAAGTAGCAATACATATTATCGGTGCCACAATGAGTGGATATCTAGCTTACAATCCATTGTGAATGATTATAGAAAATAGATTAAATAAAGGATACTTGGTAGTTATATACTGGGCGTGGTACTAGTCTCTTGGACAACCCTGTGAAAATAACATTTATTTTATTTGTTGTGTCATACCCTACGCATGTCAGTTTTTTTTTTAAATCTACAAACTTCTGTGTATATCTATAAAATTGAATTTTTTTTGTTTTTAAAAGATCATAAATTGTCATTTTAAAGTTATTAAACTAACTAGCCCAAAACATCTGCACTTAAAAGTTTATTGTAAGATTACATGATTCTACAATTTTACATTGTTGACCATAGGATTGTAATAGTGTTTTATAGCATAGAATGTAACTGTACAACAGCAATAGTGTGCATTTATATAGTGCATTTGACATAGTAATGCATCCTATGGCACTCCACGTGAGCATTACCAAACAAAATTTGACACCCAGCCACATAAAGGGAATTGAGACATATTATAAAATAGATAGATTTCAAGAAATACCTTCAAGGAGGAAGACAGGTTTAAGGAGGGAATTCAAGACTTGTTGCATGATGTACTTGATAGGCACTAGGGCAGGTCTTATGTTGATCTCCATTCCACTGATGCAAGAAGTGTGCAATGTAGACTATGGAAAGTAACACCTAAAATTTGCCAGAAGTGAGATTTTGTATAACAATAATAGCTAGCAAAACCCATGCTTATCAATGGTGAAACAGTTAACATTAGGGAAGGGCAAATGACCACAATTTGAGAAGTGTAGCTATTTGAGAACTGTAGGGCTGGACTAGGCAGCTTGGTGGTAATGTTAGTAGATATGGATTTACGTTCCACCGATCACTAAGTAAATAAATCACATCAAAGCTCTGCAATTCTGTCGCCTCCTGTCATGATGATGGTAGAGAATTATCAAGTAATGAAAGGAGTCTCCACGAATACCCAAATCCTCAATGATAGTGGAACCAAGCCTATCAGTTCAAAGTCTAGACTGAAACACTTATGAACTTCTTCAACTAGAAGTGCTAAGTGAATGATCCATCTCAGCTTTTCCTGAGGTTCCCAATATCAGTCTAGGGCCAGTTCAATTCATTACAATGATACGAAGAAATGGCTGAAAGCTGTAGATATATTGTAGGCAATGGACCTTAACAACATCTCAGTCATAGTACTGAAGTCTTGTGCTCCAAAACTAGCTTTGACTTTGGCTGAGCTGTGCCAGTACAGATACAATACTAGCATATACCCAACAATGTCCAGTCCATAAAACGTGGGACAAATTCAATCTGCCTTGTCAGTCTACTCTTGATCATCAGCAAATCATCATCATAAGGTGTTGTTGACAGTGCTTTCAAGTAATGGTTTCTCAGCAATAACTTGCACACCAATTTTCAGCATTGATCCAACTATGGCCATAAAAGCTGGATTCCAAAGGTGAGGTGAGAGTGACTTGCCTTGACTTCAAGACTGATTTGATTTAATGACATCGAAGGTGCATCATTGCAAGAGTTCATTAGGATAGTGCCCCAGGATCAACCATCTTCAGCTGCTACATCTATGATCTTCCTCTAACATTAGGTCAGAAGTGAGGATGTTCACTGATGATTGTAGTGTGCTGTAGCACGTGCAATTCCCCTGACATTTAAAGCAGTCTGTACCTGCATGCGTCAAGACCTGGACAATATTCAGGTTTACAATTGTAAATATAAGCAATATTCATACCACACAATTGCAGGCAATGACCATCTCAAACAAGGGAGAATCTGACCATCTTACCTTGATATTTAAAGATACTACTATCATTGAATGCCCACCATCAACGTCCTGAGGTTACCAAGAGGCAGAAACTTAGCAGGACCAGCCTTATAAATACTGCAATTACAAGAGCACGTCAAAGATTGGGAATTCTGTGGGGAGTAACTCAATTCCTGACTCACCAATGCCTGTCCAGCATATGCCAGGCCCAAGTCAGTCATGTGCTAAATTACTCTCCGCTTGCCTGGATGAGTGCAGCTTGACACCATACAAGGCAAAGCACTTGATCAACACTTGAATTCCATGGATACAAGCGTAGAATTAAAGACAGGAATAAGGCACTTGGTCCCTCAGGCCTGCTGTGTCATTCAATAAGATCCTGGCTAATCTGATTGTGACCCCATCTACTTGCCTGTCTATCCGCATAATATGTGACTCCCTTGTTAATCAAAAGTCCCATCTAAATAGCCTTAAAAATATTCAATGTTTCTGTCTCCACCTCTTTCTGGTGAAGAGAATTGCACACATTAACAAACTTCTGTGAAACATTTTCTTTTAATCTCTGTCTTAACTGGGAGGCACCTCATAATTGTGCCCCTGGTTCTCATAATTTCCACAGAAGGAAACATCCTCTCCACATCCACCCTGACGATTCTCCACAGGTTCTTATATATTTCCATAAGATCACCTCTCATTCTTCTAAACTTCAACAGACTTGGGGGGTCCAACCTATCTTTCCTCATAAGATAACCTCTTCATCCCAGGAATCAATTAAGTCATAGAGTCATACAGCATGGAAACAGACCCTTTGGTCCAACTAGTCCATGCCGACTATGTTCCCAACCTAAACTAGCCCCACTTGCCTCAATTTGGCCCATATCCCTCCAAACCTTTCCAATTCATGTACTTATCCACATGACTTTTAAATGTTGTAACTGTACCTACATACAACACTCCCTCTGGTAGTTCATTCCACACATGAACCACTCTCTATGTAAAAAAAGTTGCCCCTCGTGTCCTTTTTGAAATTTTCTCCTCTCAACATAGAAATATGCCCTCTAGTTTTGAACTCGCCCACCATAGGGAAAAGACCTTTGCTATTCACCTTATTTATGCCCCTTTTTTTTTATAAAACACTAAAATGTCATCCCTCAGCTTCCTACGCTCCAGCGAAAAAAGTCCCAACCTCTCCAGCCCATTTTTATAACTCAAATCCTCCATTCCCAGCAACATCCTGGTAAATCTTTTGTGAACCCTCTCCAATTTAATAATATCCTTCCTATAGCAGGGCAACAACAACTGTACAGAATGCTCTAGAAGAAGTGGACAATCTCTGAATTGCCTATAATCCAATTATGTTGTTTCTTACGGAAGGAGATCATTCCTGGACACTATGGGCAATTTAGCATGGCAAATCCACTTAACATGCACATCAAGGGAAACATCTATTTGCTTCAACTCTGTTTGTTCCTTTGCAATTTTGTATGTTTCTATGAGATGGCCTGTCATTCTTCTAAACTCCAGTGAATACAGGCTTAGTCTCCTCAAAGAATAGTTCCAATATCCCAGGAATCAGTCTAGTGAACCTCCATTCCAATTCTTCTGTGGCAAATCTTCCCTTAGGCAAGGGTCAGATCTGCGCACAGTACTCCACACGGTCTCACCAGTGTTCTATATAATTGAATCAAGATTTCTTGCTCCTAAAGTAGATCCTCGTGATAGTAACTAACATAACATTTCCTTCCAAATTGCTTGCTGCACCTGCTTGTTAGCTTTCAGTGATTTATGATTTATGAACAAGGACACCAGGGTCCTTTTCCGCATGAACTCTTTCCAGTCACTCACTTTAAGAAATTATCTGCACTTTTGTTCTTTCTACCATGGTGATAACCTCCCAATTGTCCACATTATGATCTACCTACCTTGTTCTTGGTTACTCACTCAGTCTGTCTAAATCCCCTTGAAGCTTTTTTGCATCCTTCTCATAAATCACATACCCACCAAGTTTTGTATCATCAGCAAACTTGAAAATATTAACAATTGACCCCATATCCAAATCATTGATATAACTTGTGAATAAATGAGGTCGAAGTGCTGATCCTTGTATCCACTTACCTGCCAACAGAAAAATGACCTATTTATTCCTACTTGCTGCTTTCTGCCTGTTAACCAGTTTTCATTCCACACTAGTATATTGCTCCCAATCCCATGTGTTCTAATTTTGTTTAATAACCTGTGTGGGACTTTACGTCAAATGCTTTCTGAAAATTCTAATATACCGTAGTCATTATTCCTTCTTATTGATTCTGCTATTAACATTCTCAAATAAACTCTAAAATTTGTCCAATAAGATTTACCCTTCATAAATCCATGTTGATTCTATCCAATCCGGTAATCATTTTTAATATCCAGTAATCACACTTTTGTATCAGTCTAGGATGTTCCCTACAACTGATGTTAGGCTAGCAGGCCTGTAGTTCCCTGTTACCTAGCACCCCCACATCTTAGAGAATGGAGTTACATTTTGCAATTTTCCAAGCTGCAAGCACCATTGCAAAATTAGCATGATTTTGAAAGATGAGCATCATTGCATCCCTTTCAACACCCTAGGGGGAAGGTCATAAGGTCCTGGGAATTTGTCAACTTTGTCTTATCAATTTATCCAGTAATAATTTTTTTTACCAATACTGATTTATTTCAGTTCTATACTCTCACTTGAGCCTTTGTTCTTGATTATTTCAAAAAGACTTGAGTTTTCTTCTGTGAAGGCAGTCACAAAGTACTTATTTAGCTTCTCTGCTATTTCTGCATTTCATGTAATAAATTCTCCTGCCTTTGCTGTAAATGACTCTAAGCTAATCTTTTCTTTACATATCTATGGAAATTTTTTACAGTCTGTTTTAATGTTTCTTGCTATTTTGCTTTCATATTTTACTCTCTCTTTGTCGCTTCCTTGGTTCTACTTTGAATTCTAAAATTTCCCTATCCTCAAGCTTACACTGTTCATTAAAATCATCCATGATTATTGCAGTACCTTCCTTACAAGCCCCTACTATTACTTCCCCTATACTGTGTCTACGGTGTAGTTAAAGTTAGTAGCCCTGTAAACTTCTACCTTAAACATCCACTCTGTCAACTACTGGTGCAGTGTGGCAGCCATTTGTGCCATGGGCATGATACTTCACAGGAAGATACCAAGGTTTCTTCTATAGTAACTTGCAAAACTGAACCTCTACCACCTAGAAATCAAGAGTTACAGACACCACTCCCTCCACTATCTCCAAGTTCCCCTCCCAATCACATGCCATCCTGATTTTGAACTCTAGTGCAGTTGTTTTACAGCCACTGAACTAAAATCCTGGAACTTGCTTCGTAACAGCAAAATGTGTACCCACATCATGTGGACTGCAGCAGTTCAAAAGAGGGCTTGCCAGCATGTTTTCGAGGACACCTAGGCATGGACAATAAGTACTGGCCTTTCCAGCTACACCCACCCCTCACAAACAAATGAGAAACCAAGGCATGGAGGGCAAGGTTATGAAGGGATCTAAAAGCAAGTATAGACATGTTTAAATTGATATGTTGCCAGACCAAAAAACACTATGCTGTATGTCTAGCTGCATATGAGTGATAGATGAGCAAAATTTTGTACAAGTTAGGATATGGTCAACAGAATTTTAAGAACCTCACATTATGAAATGTGGACGATCAGAGGCTGAATTGGTGGGTGTTAGAATACCCTAGTCGAGAGGTAACAAATATATGGATGAGTGTTTCAGCAGCAGATGAGCTGAGGCTGGGTAAGGTTCACTGATGCAATGGAGGTGGAAGTGGATAGCTGGATGTGATGGATGTGTGATCAGAAACTCAACAGTAGTTCAAGTATAGCATTAAAGTTGTGAATGATTTAATTTAGCCTTAGGCAGTTGTCAGAGAGAGGGCTGATGCCAGTGATTAGAGTCATAGTGTCCTACAACATGGAAACAGACCCTTTGGACCAATTCATCCATGCCGACCAGACGTGCCAATACCATGCAACGACTGTCACAAACATTACATCGGACAGACAGGAAGGAAACTAGCTATCAGAATACATGAACGTCAACTAGCAGCAAAATGGCACGGCAAATTCTCCTTAATATCAGTACATTCAGACAATGAAGGCCATCGGTTTAACTGGGACAAGGTAACCATAGTGGCCCAAGCCAAACGTAGACACGCATGGGAATTCCTAGAGGCATGGTTCTCCACCCGTAATGCAATCAACAAACATATAGAATTGGACCCCATACACAAACCCATACAGATCAAAACTGGACATGACACTAATCACCATAACGGACCAGACAGTATAAATTCCAAGCAGAGTAGAATATCGTTGCTTCTTCGGAGGCTCTGCTGATGATTTGACCTAGTATGATGACGAAACATCTGAACAAGAACAAGCCAGCTTGGCGAGTAAGTCAACAACCTCACCCACAACCTGAGCTATAGATCTTTGCCAAAACTTTTAATGCCTTTTAAATGTTGTAATTGTACACATCTCCACCACCACCTCTGCCAGCTCGTTCCATACATGCACTACTCTCTGTGTGAAAAAGTTTCCCTCAGGTCCTTTTTAAGTCATTCCTCCCTCACCTTAAAATTTTGTCCTCTAGTTTTGGACTCTCCCACCCTAGGAAAAAGACCTTGGATATTCAGCCTTTGATTTATGCCCCTTATGATTTTATAAACCTCTAAGGTCACCCCTCAGCTTCCGATGCTAGAAAATGGAGTTTGTGGTAGGGATGAAACACTTTGGCTTTGGTCTGCCCAAAGTTTAGTTGGAGGAAATTTCTATTCATTCAGCACTTGCTTTCAGGCAATCAATCTGATGATTTAGAGGCAATGAGTGTCCTGAATCCAATACCTCTAAAGGCTAATTTAAAGTAATTTACAATCTTTTAAGCTGAATTACAGAAAAAGAAATCTTTATTCTTTGGCTGTTGGTAATGCCGAAGGCTCGCTTAATATTGAACATCAGATGCCTATAGCTTATTGCTTTTTATCTTTTTTTTTCTTTTTATACAGGATTAAAATAATGCAGAACATTGGTGTTGTATTTGTCAAAATGGGACAGTACTCTGATGCTATCACCTCCTTTGAGCATATCATGAGTGAAAGCCCAAATTTAAAAACCAGCTTTAATCTCATTCTATGTTACTTTGCCATTGGTGATCGTGAAAAGATGAAGAAAGCATTCCAGAAACTTATTGTGGTCCCACTTGGTATTGATGAAGATGACAAATACATTCCACCTAATGTGAGTAAACTAAGAATTAACTGGCAATAAGGTGCCAGGTATATTTTGACTATTTGTATAATATATGATAGGAACATAAATTATGTAATAGTTTGTAAATATGATCTTAGTTTTGGTGTAAAAGTGTATTTAAGATTTTTCTCTATGGACTGTGTCTTAGGTCTTATTTTAAATAGTTGTTACTAATTACAATAACATTAATAATTTGGTTGATGCCTGTCTATTTTTCTCATCAACTTTCATTGCTGACTAATCAGGCAAATACTAACAATGGTCAGTTATTGTCAAAATGTTTTAGAGTGCACTTTAAAGAAATTACATTTGTTTGATTAATTATCTGATACCTATTTGTCAAATCATGACAATACAGTTTGCTATTGGCATTGGATCACAGTTTTGCACCAAAAACTTCAAATGATTTACTAATTCTAATTAGACAACTAACTAACCAAGAAATGTAGGAACATAGTGCTCAGAAAATGGTCAAATAATTGAAGTTAAATGGCTATGTTTATGTTTTGTATATATTTGGAGATTAAAATTCTGTAGTAGTGCTGATAATTCAGAGTGACTCTCTCTCCCTCCCAGGTTCACAGTGACCCATCTCCTGTTCTGATCTCACTCTCTCTCTTTTTCTCTCTCTCTCTCTCCCCGAGTTTCCAGTGTTCCTGTCTCCCAACCTGACTTCACAGTAGTTTTTCATCCCTGCCAGAGTTCAGTGACAACCTTTCTCACTGTTGCATCAACTTGATGGGAACATTCTTCTTTCCCTGAATATGTACAAGGATGCACATTTTCTTTTGCACACAACTATTCCAAAACATTCTTCTCACTTCCTTTTGTTCATGTAGAAAATCTCTACTTTCTTCCCAGTTCACAGACACGTTTCCCTTTTTCCTACTTCATTGGGATATTCTCATTCCCAGTAAGTTGTTGTACCATAACTTACAATTCCTGCTGTTGCTGTTTTCTTTGACAAGAAGGAAATTCTGGTAAAATAAAACTGTTGTGAATTCAGGAATTTTTAATTGTTGATTCATTTCCTTTTAGATCAGTTCATTAAAGCAGGGTTATCTTTATTGAACATTGCTTCAGTCTATCATCTTTATTGCTTGTAGAGATTGGTTCTACAGGTCAGATCCAGGAGAGATGCAAAATTTCTTCTGCCCCTTTAAAGATTATGGTATAGGAGGTAATGCAGTGGTATTGATCAAAGTTTGTTTAACAGACAGAAAATGAAGAGTTGAAATAAATGGATCATTCTCATGATGACATACTGGCTAGTGGGGTACCGCAAGAATCCGTACTTGGACCCCAGCTGTTCACAGTATATCTCAATGCTTTATATGTTGGGAACCAAATGTATTATTTTCAAATTTGCAGACGATACGAAGCTACCAAGTATCTGTGTTCAGAGGAAGGGGTAAATTGTTTTCGGGAGGATGTGGATAGGCTTAATGATTTGTCAAAAACATGTCAGCTGGAACGTAATGTGGATTAATGCAAGGTTATCTACTTTAGTAGGAGCAGATGTGCAAAATGTTTCTTAAGTGGTGAGAGGTTGGCAAGTGTAGATGTGCAAAGGGACTTGAGTGTCTTTATGAATAAATGATTGAAGGTCATACGCAGATGCAGTAAGCTATTAGGAAAGCTAAAGGAATGTTAGGTTTTAGCACAAGAGGATTTAAGTATAGTAGTGAAGTTTTGCTTCAGGCGTATAGGAGCTTAGTTAAACTGCACCTTCAGTACTATGTGCAATTTCGATCTCCTTAACACAGGAAAGATACTATTGTCGTAGAGGGAATGCAACAGAAGTTCATCGGGCTTTTCCTCGAGATGGACAGACTATCTTATAAAGAGAGATTCGGCAATAAGGTACCTCTTGTAAGGCTAATTAATAGGATAAAAGCCCATGGTGTTATAGGTAACACATTAGCATGGATAGAAGATTGGGTAACTCATGCAAGACAGAGAGCTGGGATAAGGGGGCATTTTCAGGATAGTGACACCTAACTAGTGGATTGCTAGAGAGTTTAGTGCTGGGGCCCAATAATTTACAATTTATATTAATGACTTGAATGTTGGAAGTGAATGTACTATCACTAAGTTTGCAGGTGCCACAAAATTAAATTGGAAGGCAAGTAGTGAGGATGTCACAAGGAGTCCACAGAATGAATGGCCTACTCCTGACCCTATGTTCCTCTCTCAAGGACCCTTCTTTCTTTCCTAAAGTGCAGTGATTGGGACTGAATGCAGTACTCCAGTTAGGGCCTAAACAGTGCTTTATAAAGATTCAGCGTAACTTCTCTACTGTTATACTCATTTATTAGTGTCAAGTTCCCACATGATATGCTAACTGCTCTTTCAATATGTTTGTCACCTTCAAGAGTGATGCGCATGTACGACCAGGTACCTCTGTTCCCTCTCTTATGATTCTTATCCTATTCATGGCTTCTGTTATCACTGATTGTTCCAATAAGTTGTTATATTTCTCCTCAGTAAATTCCAATACAAGGTATTCAGTAAGTATTGTAGCCTTGCCCTGTGCCTCTTATATTATTTTCTTTGTCCCTAATAGCATCGACTACACCTCTAACTATTTTCTTACTATTTACATGCTAGGTCAAGGATATTCCTCTTTATGTTCACTACCATTCTATTCTCTTATTCTCCCCTGATAAATCTTATTTTCTTCATCTCCTCCCTCAATTTATTATATAACCCTTTTCTTATTTGACACACATCATAAACACTTCTGTTTTGCTTCAGTATGACCTCTATCTCACTCGTCATCTAAGGACCCCTGTTTTTGTTCTTCCGTTCCTTTCCTTCTAAAATATCTAGCTGTAGTTTGTCTTATCAATCTTTGGTTTAATTTTACCCTGGCAAGTTAAATCCCTTCTCACCACATTGAATTGATCCCTTTTCCAAAAGAGTCATAGAGATCTATAGCACTCCAGATGTTCTATTGTGTATTGTCCCTTGATTTTCTCCATTAAGAATCAAATCCTTCCAGGTCCACTTAGACTGTTTCATTTCCCAAATCCTGTATTTATGTAATATCATGATTTCTGTTTCAAAATGAAGTTGTCTCATTGTAAACTGTTGCTTTTGTAGGATGATCCACATATGAATCTGGTGATTGAAGCCATCAAGAATGATCCACTCAGACAAATGGAGCGAGAGCGGTAGTATAAATCTGCTGTTTTGAAAAGTAATATGGCACTTATTTAGTTTGCACTTCTGGGCCAACAAGTTATCTCTATAAATAGTTGAACTCCAGATAACCTGCAAAAGAATTACATTTCAATGTTTATTTTAAGTCACTTGTTCCAAATAATAATAACCATATTTATCAGATAGTCAGTACTTCATAAAAAGCAGATCACAGTGTAAGTTAATGCAGTGCATTTTCCTAATACTTATTTAATAATGCCATATTCCTATGGAGGAATAATTTTTTATTTAATAGGCATAGAAAGTAGTAAATATAATAGACAAAGAGGCCTTTTCAGAATCGAAATCTTGCCATGAGATTTCTTTTCATTCATCTGCTTTTAGAGGAATTATTCGTAACATTTAGAAAAAGCCTCGATAAGCTAACATTTTGGAATTATTTTTATTTGTTCAGTGGAAGTTGACGTTGTTGGCTAGGACAGTATTTAGTATCTATCCCTAATTTTCCTTGAAATTTGTGTTAAGATGGCTTCTTAAACTGCTGCAGCCCATTGGGGATAGGTACACACCTAGTGCTGTTTAAATGGGGGTTCTATGTTTTTGACCTAATAGCAATAAAGGAAAGTACATATAGTTCCATTTCAGGATGGTATGTGTGTAGGAGCAGGACTTGCAGGTAATGGTGTCCCTGTAAATATGCTGTCCTTATCCTTATAGGTAGTACTCTTGCATATTTGGAAGATGCTGTTGAGCCTTGGTGAGTTGTTGGTGTATATCTTGTACTGCTGTCTCTATGCATCAGTTGTGGAGGGAGTGAATATTGAAGTTTCCGATGGGTTGCCAGTCAAGAATGCTATATTTGTCCTGGATGGTGCCAAGATGCTTCAGTGTTGTTGGAGCTGCACTCATTTAGTCAAGTGGAAAGTATTCCATTAAACACCTAACTTGTGCCTTTATGATGGTGGATAGCATTTGAGAAGTCAGGAGGTGAATTATTTCTCACAGAATTCCTAGCCTTGGACCATCATATCTATATGGCAGGTCCAGCTCAGTTTCTGGTCAGTGATAACACGCATGCTGTTGATATTCAGAGATTTGATGATGGCAATGCCATTGACTGTTAAGGAGTGATAGTTTAGTTCTCTCTTGTTGAGGATGGTCATATTGCTTGGCACTTGTATGAATCAAGTGTTACTTTTTACTTATGATCTCGATCTTGAATGTTGTCCAGGGCTTATTATATTTGGGCATGGACTGTTTCAGTATCTAGAGAGTCATAAACTGTCCTGAATGTTAAGCAATCATCAGTGAATATCCTTACCTTTAACCTTCTAATGGAGGGAAGGTAATTGATGAAGGACCTGAAGATGACGGGGCCAAGGACACTATCCTGTGGAATGTTGAGAATGCTGTGGTTGGGTTAAAGATTCTATTGCAAAGACAATGTAATCAATTATGTTCTCTATGTATTTAATTGTGCAGGAAAGCAATGGCAGAGAGATTTATAATGACAGCAGCTAAGTTGATAGCACCAGCAATTGAAGCATCATTTGCATCTGGATATGACTGGTAAGAGTTAATATGGATTTGTGCAACGACTTTGGGCACACTGTCCTAATCAAATAATTTAAAAGAAAAATAAATGCAAAATACTGCAGATGCTGGAAATCTGAAATAAAAACAAAGCGCTAGGGAAAGTTAGCAGATCTGGCAGCATCTATGGAAGGAAAAAGAGTTAATGTTTCGCAGCCGAAATGACTTCTTTAGAATAGTCATATTGAACTCAAATCGTTAACTCTGTTTCTGTCTCCACGGATACTGCCAGACCTTCTGCATTTGTCCAGCATTTTGTTTATATAACATAAAGAAAAATTGAAAAGCCCTGGGTTGGATACTTGGCAGGCATTTTCTACTTGGCAAGGGTTGGAACAGTAACCAAGTGCACCCAAGAGTACAGCCCTGTCTACCCACTAGACAGTAGAAGCATCAGATTCAGCCCCATTATGTCTATATTTACTGTCAAATACAGGTATTATCTATATGGTTGTAAAAGACTTTGTGTTCTCCGAAAACAAAACGCGTATGGATAATCTGTTCTCCAGTATCCATTAAATTTGTTCTCGGACCTGCCATCAAGGAGCCTGTGAATGTATCTGGGCCTAATATTCTTTTCTGAAGTCTGAGTCAAGTTTGAAACTCAGTTTTTGGTGATTTTTGTTTTTGGACCATATATTATGCCAGCGCAAAATGTCTAGAACAAATTCCATTAAAACAAATTCCATTTATGTAATTAATGAACATCCTAAGGCACTCTACAGGAGGGCGTCAAAAACAGATCAAGGCCATTACAAGGGGAGATTTTGAGTGAGGACCAAAAAGCCTGGTAAAGCAAGCAACTTTGACAATTTTGAAGGATAAAGGGATAGAGACCAAGAGGGCTAATTGAGCAAAACCCCAAAAATTAGAGCAAAAGCAAAGTGGTGGAAATCTGAAAAACAAACAGAAAAATCCTGGAAACATGCAGATTAAGTAGGATCTGTCCAGAAGTTAGAAATCAAGTGATCTGTGTTGGGGTAAAGCAAGGAAGGTCCCCAAGAAGCTGATGTTATGATCCTAGCTGATGTAACCACGGGATACATCAGATTCCAGAATGAAATATGACTTGAGAGATCATATTTTGTTTGTTTTTATTTAACATGGTTATCTTTTACTGAAACATAAACACACATGCTGCCGATTTCAAGATTGCAAAATACAGGGTAAAACAAAATCCCATCTATCTCAATGCCATTTTACAATACTCAAATATCAGAAAGAGTCATATCCACCACATTTATAGGTTTAACTTCATTGTTAGGATACTGAAATTGCATGATCAGCCATAATCATATTGAATGGTGCAGGCTTGAAGGGCCGAATGACCTACTCCTGCACCTATTTTCTATGTTACTTTCAATTCCTGGTCTTGAGTGTTTGATATCACTTTCTTGATTATTCACACAAATGAGCTTAAATTTTCTTAGTTTCAAATAACACCATGTTTCTTAACAAAGCACTGGAATTGTGGGAAGATAGAAATATAGGCGCAAGAGTAGGCCATTCAGTTCATTGAGCCTTCTCTGCTATTTAACATAATCATGGCTAGTTAAACACAAATATGACCTTTTTATTCCTACTTTCTGTTTTATGCCAAAATTAGTTGCATAGAAGATTTTCTCCCCATACCCTTTGATCCCATCAGCCCTAAAAACTATATCTAACTCCTTCTTGAAAATGTTTAATGTATTGCTTCTTTCACTTTCTGTGGCAGAGAATTCCACAGGCTCATCACTCTTTTTGTAAAGAAATTTCTCCTCAGCTCAGTCCTAAATGGCGTACCCTGTTTCCTTAGACAGTGACCCTTCATTTTGGACTCCCCAGTTATTGGAAATATTGTTCCTCTGTATACCCTGTCTAGTCCTGTTAGAATATTTTGTATGTTTCAATGAGATCACCTCTCATAGAATCCCTGCAGTGTGGAAACACTCTTCAAAACTCCATTGAATATAGTTCTAACTGATCCACTGTCTCTTCATATGTCAGTTCTGCCATACCAGGAATCAATCTGGTATACCTTCGTTGAACTCCCTCCGGAGCCAGAATATCCTTCCTCTGTTAAGGAGATCAAAACTGCACAAAAAAGTCCAGGTGTGGTCTCACCAAGGCTCTGTGTGATTACAAGAAGACTTCCTGCATCTATACTTGAATTATCTCACTATGAAGGCCAACAGTGCCTTCTTCATTGCCTATTGCACTACACGTTTACTTTCAGCAACTGGTGTACAACGACATCCAGTCTTGTTACAATCTATCGTCATTCAGATAATGATCTGCCTTTCTGTGCCTAGATGCTGCCAGACCTGCTGAGTTTCTCCAGCAATTTCTGTTTTTCTTTCATACCTCCAGCATCCAAAGTTCTTGTTTCATTTTATAATAATCTGCCTTCCTGTTTTTGCTACCGAAGTCGAAAACGTTACATCTATCCACATTATATTTCATTTGCCGTGCATTTGTCCACTCATCCCCTTGTCGAAATCACATTGAAACATTTCTGCAACTTCATCACAGTTCGTCTTCCCACCCAGCTTTGTGTCATCTGCAAACTTGAAGATATTACACTTAGTTTCCCCATCTAAATCATTAATAAATATTGTTAATGACTGGGGTCCAAGCACAGATTCCTGTGATATCCAACTGGTCACTGGCTGTCATTCAGAAATGACCCATTGATTCCTACCCTTTGTTTTCTGTCTTCTAGCCAGTTCTCTATCCATGTCAATACACTACTCCCAGTTCCATGTGCTTTAGTTTTATATGCTAATCTCTTATGTGGGACCTTACTGAAAGCATTCTTAAAGTGCAAATAAAAAACATCCATTGGTTTCCCTCTGATTAATTCTATTCGTTACATCCTTGAAAAATTCCATTAGATTTGTCAAGCATGATTGCCCTTTCATAAATCCATACTGACACCAATCCTGTCACTGTTTTCTAAGTGCTTTGGTATTAAATCTTTTATGATGGACTCTAGCATTTGCCTTACAATCGATGCAATACTAACTGGTATATAATTCCCTATTTTCTCTCTACTTCCATTTTTAAATAGTGTGCTTCCATTAACAGCTCTCTAATCCATAGGAAATGTTCCAGAGTCTGTAAAAGAGTCTTGAAAGATGACCACCACTATTTCTAGAGCTATTTCCTTAAGTACTCTGGAATGTAGATTATCAGACCCAGTGGATTTGTCAGCTCTTAATCCCATCACCATTTCTTTCTAATACAGTTTTCCTCAGTTCCTCTCTCTCACAAGACCATGTGTTTGCCAACATTTTTGGGAAGTTATTTGTGTCCTCCTTTGTGAAGACAGAATATTTGCTGAGTTCATCTGCAATCTGTTTGTTCTGGTTTATAATTTTCCGTGTTTCTAATCGTAAGGCACCTACATTTGTCTTCACTAATTTTTTTCTTTTTACTTACCTATGGAAGCTTTTACAGTCGGTTTATATGTTCCCTGAAAGCTTATTCTAATATTCTGTTTTCCCCTCTTTGTCAATCCCTTTATCCTCTATTGCTGAAATCTAAACTAATCCCAATCCTTAAGTTTGCTTCTGTTATTGGCCCCTTCCTTGGATCTAATACTATCCCCAGTTTTCCTTGTTAGCCATGGCTGGACAACCTTTCCCATTTCCATGCCAAACAGAAATGTACAATTGTTTGCAGTTCCTCCATGCACTCCCCATTACCTATTCACTGTCATATCTTTACATAATGCTTAATCCATGCTAGTATAGTATCTCCTATACCATGTCCTTCAACTTAGCTTACCAACTTTCTCTTGGGACTTTATCAAAAGTGTTCTGAAAATCTAAATGTACTACATACATCAATGTGTTTGTAATGCCTTCAAAAGACCTTTGTGACAATACTATGATTTTAAGGGGTGTATTTTGTCCTTTTTTTTTGAAGAGAGCTTTTAAGGCAGAGGTGTTGAGCTGCCAATTGTAAACTCATAAAGTAAACAGCTTGAGAGGCCTTGGAGTTTATTTTTAAAATTGAAACAATAGAAGTACCCTGAATGGGTGTGGTCAAGCTCCCACAGAATCAGGATTTTTAGTTTTAGCTTTCAGCAGTTGTTGCTGGGGTCTCAGCAGAGTTTGGAAGCTGCAATACATCTCTCCCTGCTACATTCTGTCAGAGTTTTCTCTTGGTTTTTTCCTGCTGCTGGAGTTGAACGTGAGACGATCTGTTTTTCTGAATTTGCCTTTGTCACAGGAATTTTTATGGGATGTTAGTACGTTGGAACAGTTAATTAGTAATAGTTACTGTATCTATTACTTTGTTAAGCATTTCAATAGTTACAGCTAAGACATTTCTTTTTTTGTTGTATTTTAACTATAGTGTATGAATAAAGTGGTTTTGCTTCAAATCTGGTAGTTTGACCAATCAAATTGCATCTTAAACACACCTTACACTTACCTTTAAAATAAGAAAAAGTTAGGGGCTAGGCTGTCTTCTTAATATATTTTGAGGGGGTTTAGTCTGGTCCATAACTTTCCCAACAACTCTGTCAAACAGGATTTTCCATTTGCAAGTCCATACTGATTATACTCAATCGTATCATTTTTATCCAAGTATCCATTTATCACATTCTTTATGATAGATTCTTGTATTTTTCCTGTGCCTGACTGTCAAACTAAAACTCTTGCACTGAAGCAGCCTATATCCTAACTGTTCTAAACTAACTCCTTTCTCCAGGACAAAATGTTCTTGCATCTAATCCTGCCAGGTTTTCTGCAAACTACCAGTAAAACCTTTCCAATTTGAGTTCGTCCTTGAATCAAAAAAAAATTATTGGTTCTCCTAAACCAAAAGTAAGCTGATGTCTTCCAATGCTTACTGTCTCCAGTCATTAAATACTCAAAATGCAAACAAATTCTCTGTCACCCAAGGAAAGCCCCGGTCATCTGTTCTCTGACAGATACTGGTTTAAAATCATGGCTCTGGAAGAATGTCAGATTAACAATTTAAACCCCTTATACATGGACTATAGCATACATACCACTAATTCAAAATCCAAACTCTAAAATAAGTGAGATCAATATATATAAATTACACACCATACATCAGACTGAAAACAATGTAACAAAGTTTTCAAAATAATGAAATGATTCTGTTAGAATCTACAGATGGAGTGAGATGACACTAGGGGAATTAATGAAAAAAAAACACATTTTCTTGAAGCTTTTTGTCTTGCACATGTCGGGAAATTTCACAAGAAATGCCAAAGTAAAGGAAAAAGAACATTTATACCTGCTTGGACAACCACCATCCTGGGGGCTATATCTGGCCTATTGCTAGATTGAATCAAGCTGGCCAGCCCACAGCAAAATCCTGGGGCATATCGCACATTGAATGTCAGCAGCACTGTGCGTCAGGGGGAGGAGTTTGAGAGTGCGAAACCACTACCAAAGAAGCACTTTGGAGGAGTACAGCCTGAAAGTCTGGGAAGCACAGAGAAATGGACAAATACCTTTGTTTTGTCACAGTGAAATGCAAGCCCATGGTGCTGAATTGTAGAGAAACAGTTTCTGTCATGAAAAATGCCAACATAAAATGATATTACAGTAGAAAATACTTAAAATCCACAGAATTTCGTGGACAGATGGGCTTGTATAAAATCAGAGCACTTAGGAAAAAAAATTGGATGCACAGCCACCAAATTTCAGAAGACTAAGAAAGAAGATGGACACTGTTACTTAAGCCAATTCTGTGATGTGTGAGCACACCACCAATAACATAGACCTCTGTCATGGTCTGGACTTGTGAAGGAGTGTATCATTGCAACTGCAGCTTTACTGGCTTCAGAGAAATTTACATTATTTCAGAGTGTGAATTTGTCTCATAGAATTGTGCCAGTTCAGATTAATGATATGACTCTAGGCATTGAAACATTTCTGAAAGATTCTGTGGCTAATCTTGAGGTTAACTCTCTGGCTATCGATGAGATAGTAGACATCACAAGTCCAGGTTAACTGATGATCTGTCCGTGGATTCAGAATAGATTTTGGACTTAGAGAAGATTTGATTTCTTTAGTGGCAATGCAAAGGGGAAGATATTTTTGAGAGGCTTATATTGGCTTCAGTTATCATTTTAAAAAAGTCTTCTTACTACTGATGGTGCTCGAGCCATGTTTAGATCTCGGAGGGATTAGTTTTTCTAATTAAAAAAATTTGATCAGCTCATCCTTGATCCAAGCTATTGAATTGTATGTCACTACTTCATTCATCAAGAGAATTCGCATTCACAGTCCCTGCAGCTGGGGAAGTATGCTGATGTGGCTTAATGAAGTTAGGAATGTAGTGAACATTTTCATGGAAATTCAAGCTGGACTTCATAAGAGTATGAGTTCCCTGATTGGGAAGCTGTTAAGCTGCTCTATTCAGAGACACCTGGCTGACATAAAAGGGTGAATGTCAGGACTACCTGGCTTAGTGAAGGGCAGTGCTGTTGTCAAAGGCTATGCATTTGTGAATAAAGGGTGATTGGTGATGGGATGCCAGCCTCTGAAGAGTTGCTTCAAAGAGGAAGGAAAAACCTGTGACTGAGTTGAGCAAGCACACACGTGTGTGTGTGTGACTTGTGAGTGAGCTCAATGTCAAATTACAAAAGCAGCATCTTACTTCTCTGTCAGATGTGAAATCATTTGAAGCCAAATTAAAGCTATGGGAAATGCAGTTGGAAAAACTGCATTTTCCTAGCCTTCAGGGACATCTGGAAAATCTGCTACAACAGAAGACTACAACAGGGATAGTGTGCAAATTTGTTTCAGAAATTTTGCGCACGATTTCAAGGCCCATGAATGAAAGTACTAGAATTAAATGTTTTTTTCAGACTGTTCAACATTAAGGCTGACGATGCACTAGAAAACCTCCAACGTGAAATCAGCCGTAAAGCGACATTGAATTGAAGGCCAAATACAGTAACCTGCCACTGCTGAAATTCTGCAGACTCCATGTAGGTGCTGCTGACTTTCCAAACATGAGAAGGCCTGCTCTGAGAATTACATCACTGTTCAGAGCTACATAATACTATGAACAGTTCTTTTTAAAACTTTTTCTGGCAAAGAACCATCTATGTTCTTGTGTAACAGATGTAAATTTTGAACAATAGTTGTGATTAGCAATATCTTCATTGCTAGCAGACACCGGAAGGCTCATTAAGGCAAAGCATTCTCAGCCATTGCATTAAAACAACAGGTGAGTTGAATGCTTCAGTTTTTCTCTCTTCAGGAAAAGTTGCTTGATTTACTTTTTATGTGTGGCCCTTAGATGATTTCATCCATGTGTCACCAGCTCACCTCTGATTTATATCATGTGAAAGGAGAGTGCTGATTGGTTGATGGATTGGTAGATGTGTTGCTATGGCGAATTCACCGGTTACTGATGACTTACAGTTAACTCCCTAAACTTTGTTTAAATTTTAGGCATGGTTGACTCTGATTAGGTTCTGAAGAAGGGTCACTGGAGTCAAAACATTAACTCTGTTTTCTCTTCATGATGCTGCCAGACCTGCTGAGTTTCTTCAGCACTTTCTAGTTTTGTTTGTTTCCGGTCCCTCTGAAGGAGCCTGCAGCCTTAGGAACCTGTCTGCCATCTTAAATTGAAAGACCTATCTAGAGCAACTTCTTAATTAACTGTCTCTGGGCATGCTGACAGCAAGCACAGGATTAGGAGTCAGAAATGGTCCTGTCTTTTTTGTTATTTTAAAAGAGAACATGGTTCTACTCGGTTTATTTTACCAGTACTCTTTGTGAACAGAATTTTCATACATTATGTGCAAGTTATTATTGTGGATATTTATGTCTGGGGATGTATGTTGTCTCTGTGCTGTCTTCTTGCTGGTGCAGGACAAAAACATTGACCATACCTGTCCTACCTTCAGTGGGTGAACAATAAATGTATAATATTAGGTATACCTATGGTGCACTGTTTCTGATATCAGTGAATCTTTTCCTAGTTTGCTCATAGAGTCAATGGATTTAGGATATTCTAGCAACTAACTTCTGGTTATTACCTAAGCAGTAGCTTGGTTAAAAGTGTTTTCAAAGAATATCAGTTTCCTTTGATACTGCTCCTGCTGGATGACTCCAGAAATCATTGCTAAATGCTGAAGTCTTTTCCATGGCCGTCACACTACCATTTTGCAAGGAATGTTTGCTTTCAACCATTTATTCTAACCCTTATCTCTCTTTAAGAGCAAGCAGCTGTCCTTTAATTACTGCTAGTTTATTCAGTCTTTGGAAGGTCTGAGCCTACCTTGAAATCTTTCCATCATGCAGGAGTCACTCCACTGCTGGCATAGTTGCACAATCTTTGTGGGGGAACACAACCTTCATTTTGTTGGAATCTCAAAAAAATGATTATAGATTGCATTTACACTTGTTTTCCAGTTTCACTTGTACATTAAAACTCAACAATATGTTTGTAATGCAAGACCATCACAGTGGGTACAGAAGGTGTTATTGTGATATTCAAGTATTGATACTTATGATCACAGGTTTTACTGCTGGGTTGTTGCGCCTAACATTCCCCACATTGATATAAAAGTTGATGGAAATTTCTAGGCAAATCGCTTTGTGATGGCTATTGATGACATAAACTAACCACAAATTGACACTTGTTTGGCATTCTTAATGCAGAAGCTGTGAGTAATGGAGACCTGATTTTGTGGTGCTGTGGCATTTAATATATTGTAGTTTTGTAGGAAACCTATTAGACAACTAACCCAGGAATCATAATTCTGATGTAGAAGTAAAAAAAATGAAACGCAATTTCCATGGTTTATCACTGATATCTTTTTAGATTAATAGAAACTATCCTGGTTCTCCTCTCCCAAAAAAGACACTGTGTAACTTGAAACTTGATGGGAAAAGAATTTGGCTTTTCAGGAATGATTCAGAATCCAATTGTTAATTGTTACAGGTGTGTGGAAATGGTGAAGGCTTCCCAATATGTTGAACTAGCTAATGACCTGGAAATTAACAAAGCTATTACTTACCTGCGACAGAGGGATTTTAACCAGGTAACACATGATAACACCATTTTCATTTCTGCTGGATATTTATAAACTGTTTCAAACAGTGGATCATAATTTATCCTTTGTATTTAACATCCACATGCATCCCTGATACTGTGCAACCAGAAAAAGAACCTCTCAAGAATTTGTGTTCCACTTATATTTTTCAGTTAAAAAGGTACAGAAAGTGCTCAACAGGGTGATCTGCATATAAACTGGAATGTTAAGTTATAATTAATATGCTACTTCAACACAGCTTCTTTTAAAATGGTCCTTTTCTTTCCGCCCTGAACTGCTTACGAAGGGATATAACTTAGTATTTTCCCCCTTGTTTCCTGCTGGAAAGTGTAAATCTTTTTACTTTATTGGTCTGTGGTTCAGTTTATTAATGATGGTTTCCATCTTTTTTAAATTCTTTTTGAATATTTATGAATTATTTCCTGGCATTTTGATTGATTTTCAATTGCTGCAGAGGTGTTGAGTTCCACATCTTGAATACATTTGTTATTTTGGAATTAGGTTCATTGATTGTGAGCTGAATTCAGAAGTTCTTATTTAATCTCCATTGCTGGTCTGTTGCTAGCGACAGATACACCTTGCTAGTACATATCCAGTTCAAATTTATGGCAAAAAAAGACTGAAGATATGTAAAAAATTATCTTGGTATAATCCTGTTTGTGCATAGATATTAATTAACTTTAAAAAGAAATTAGATTACTAATTGTAGCTGTGGAGCAGGATTTAGTGTTAAGTGGTGGGTTGCCAATTCACCAATCAGATACCTAACTGGATAGCATCAGGCTATCCACTGAATCAAGGCCCTTGAAGGATGGAAATCCCAGCCTGAAACCTGTTTGTCAAACAGAGGCTGGTATTGCCACCAAGATCAGTGGCAATTGCTGGTAATGCACTGAAATCCTCACTTGGAGTAAGGTAAGTGGGATGGAATGGAACTTTGGAGTAGAAGGCTGTCAGTGTGTATGGATTTAGGTACTGGGTACTGGGCATAAGGGTGGCTTACCCTTCCCTCTGCTAGGTCCATTGATTGAACACTGCACGCTTGTGAACAATTGGCAAGGGAATCAACAGAGTGGAAAATCATACTTGATCTCATCCTTGCCAATCTACACCGCATCTATGACAATATCAGTAATTGTGACCATCACACAGTCCTTGTGGAGACAAAGTCTACTGTTCATGTTAAGAATACATCCATTGGGTTGTGTGGCGCTATCACTGTGCTAAATAAGGTAGATTTCAAACATATTTAGCAACTCAAGACTAGGCATTCATGAGGTGCTGTGGATTATCAACAGCAAAAACTCTACTCCAACACAATGTTCATCCTTAGCATATCCCCCAACTCTATCATCAAGCCAGGACATTAACTGGTTCAATGAAGAGTGTGAGAGGTCATGCCAAAAGCAGCACCAGGCAAACCTAAAAAAGAGGGGTCAACCTGATGAACCTACTTGAATGCCAGACCGCATAAATGGCAAGTGACAGACTGGGCTAAGTGATTCCACAAATAGCAAATCAGATTTATGATCACGGTCATGACAAGCAGTTAATTTTTTTTTGCACTAAGGTTGTTATTTCCCATGGAATTCTAGATTTACTTTTTGATCAGAAATAAAAATAAAAATAAAATTATCAGAGCAGACTTCGCATTGTAGCTTTGAGCAGTCTTTTGAAAGATAAATAATATCTATTTCCACTTTCAATTTCTAGGCTGTAGAAACCCTGAAAATGTTTGAGAAGAAGGATAGCAGGGTTAAGAGCGCAGCTGCAACAAATCTCTCTTTCCTTTACTTTTTGGTAGGTGCCAAGATCATAACTATTGCATTACATATTAGCAGAGGCAACACACACAGGCGTTTTTTTTTCACAATTCGTATAATTGTGCATGGTTCTTGCAATTTCACATTTGGAATTGATCATTCACCAATCAATATATTATGGTTTTCTCATCCAATTAAGTCATTGACCACAAAATATGTGAATCAGTCAATGATGCTTTATTAAAATAGGCGCAGCTGACTCCATTAAGCTGGCGGCTAGCACATGGAAATGGTCACCTTTGCTGTAGGTAAAATTTCTCCTAGTTGCCTTAACATTGTAAATTGACTGCTTACCTTTGCAGGCAGCCAATCAGTGTCCGCTTTCAGCGCTGGGGATGTTCCCCTGCAGCAGGAATACATTTTCCCCAAGTCGTTCCCCACGCTATAGGGGTGTAAAGTACTGAATTTAAATTTGGGCATTTTCATTGGAAGTCAATTAGGACATTTATGAATTGACGTGATCTATAATGAACAAGTTTTGCGACTGTATTTGCATTCCCATTATTATGATAGCGTAAAATCATATTTCTATGAGTACCTCCTGAGTTTGAAAGTAGTCAATTGTGCATTTCTTATGATTGAACCGAATAGACTTTTAAACAATTGGCCATGCACAGCAGAAATCATTTTCATTGGATTTGTGCAGGAAAATGATTTTGGACTTGCAGACCGGTATGCTGACCTTGCTATGAGTGCTGATCGATATAATCCAGCAGCACTGACAAATAAAGGAAACTGTGTCTTTGTTCGAGGCGACTATGAGAAAGCAGCTGAATTTTATAAGGAAGCTTTACGGAATGATTCCTCTTTTACTGAGGCACTCTATAACTTGGGTGAGTTGCAATATTACTTAATTTGACTGATAGGCAATTTATGACTTCTGAGTGTTAATCCTCTAATGTCTTCAGTTTCTTGATTTTCAGTGTACACTATTGATTCAGATTGCTTTGTGATTTCATTTATTCAGAACTTATTTTCTGCTAAGCTCCCATGCAGCTGTGTAATTCATTCACATAGAAGCATAGGAACAGGAGTAGACCATTCAGCTTCTCGAGCATGTTCCACCATTCATGGCTGATCTGATGGACCCAACTCCATATACCTGCCATTAGCCCATTTCTTTTAACACCTTTGATTAACAAAAATTTATCTGTTATTTAACATGAGCAACTTATCCACTGCCATTTATGGAAGAGAGTTCCAAACATCTGCCACCCTTTGTATGTAGACGTGCTTTCTAACATCTTTCCTGAATGAAAGTCTGACCTATTCTTAGACTATTCCCTGTAGTTCTAGAATCCTCAACCAGCAGAAATAGCTTATCTTTATCTACCCTGTCTTTTCGTGTTAATGTCTTTTTCTTAATTCACACGTAGGACATGGGTATTGCTGGCTGGCCAGCGTTTATTTTCCTTGATATGGTAGTGAACTGCTTCTTGAACCGCAGCAGTCCATGTGCTTAGGTAGGCCCAAAATACTAGTAGGGAGGAAATTCCAGTGTTTTTACTGGGGTGATACTGAAGGAATGGCAGTCTATTTCCAAGTCAGAATGATGAGTGCCTTGGATGGGAACTTGCTGGTAGCAATGGTGTTCCCATGTATCTGCTACCCTTGTCCTTCTAGATGGAATTGATCATGGGTTTGGGAGGTGTTGTCTAAGGAGCCTTGGTGAATTGCTGCAGTGCATCTTGTAGATTGTACATAATACTGCTACAGAATGTTGGTAGTAGAGGGAATGGATGTTTGTGGATGAGCTGTAAATCAAGCAAGCTGCTTTGTTCTGTACAGCATCAAGTTTCTTGAGTGCTGTTGGCTCTGCACCCATCCAGGTTAGTGAGGAGTATTCCATCACAATCCTCACTTGTGTCTTGTAGATCGTGGACAGGCTTTGGGGAGTCAGGAAGTGAGTTACTAGCCACAGTATTCCTAGCTTCTGACCTGCACTTGTAACTGCTTTATTTATATGGTGATTCCACTTAAGTTTCTGGTCAATGGTAATCCCCAGGATGTTGATAGTGGGAGATTCAGTGATGGTAATATCATTGAATGTCAAGGAGTGGTGGTTAAATGGTCTCTTTTTGGTGATGTTCATTGCCTGACATTTGTGTGGCACAAATGTTACTTACCACTTGTCAGCCCAAGCCTGGATATTGTCCAGACCTTGTTGCATTTGAACATTGACTGCTTCAGTATTTGGGGAGTCGCAAATGATGGTGACTTGCCCACAGCACCTCATGGATGCCCAATTGTGCAATCACCAGTGAACATCTCCACTTCTGACCTTATGCTGGAGGGAAGGTCATTGCTGAAAAAACTGAAGATGGATGGACTCTTCTCATGAAGGGTCCAGACCCGAAACGTCAGCTTTCCTGGTGCTCTGATGCTGCCTGGCCTGCCGTGTTCCTCCAGCTCCACACCTTGTTATCTCAGACTCCAGCATCGGCAGTTCCTACTATCTCTGAAGATGGATGGACCTAGGACACGACCCTGAAGAACTCCTGTAGAGATGTCCTGGATTTGAGATGACTGACCTCCAAAAGCCACAATCGTCTTCCTATGTGCCAGGTATGAATCCAACTAGTGGAGACTGCATCCCTTGAATTCCCATTGATTTCAGTTTTGCTAGGGCTTCTTGAGTCTACACTCAGTCAAATGCCACCTTAATGTCAAGGGCTGTCAATTTCACATCATCTCTGCAATTCAGCTCTTTTGTCCATCTTTAAACCAAGGCTGTAATGAGCTCAGGAGCTGGTGAAACATGAACTGGGCATTAATGAGCAGGTCATTGCTGAGCAGGCTCTGTTTGAAAGCACTGTTGACACCATCTTCCATCACTTTAATGATGATTGAGAGTAGACTGAAGGGGTGGTTATTCTTTGGGTTAGATTTGACCTGATTTTTGTGTACAGGATGTACCTGGGAAATTTTCCTCATTGTCTGGTAGATGCCAGTATTGTAACTGTTCTGGAACAGCTTGGCTAGAGGAGTTGTAGGTTCTGAAGCACAAATCTTCAGTACTACTACTGGAAAGTTGTCAAGGCCCATAGCTTTTGCAGTATCCAGTCCCTTCAACTATTTCTTGATATCGTGTGGCGTGAATCAAATTGACAGAAGACTGGCATCTCTGATGGTGAGGACCGCTGGAGGAGGCCGACATAGATCATCCAATTCATACGTCTGGCTGAAGATTGCTGCACATGCTTCAGCCTTAAATTTTGCACTGATGCGTTGGGCTATTGGTCATTGAGATTGGGGGTATTTGTGGAGCCTTCTTCTCATGTGAGTTGTTTAATTATCTACCACCATTTAGGACTGGATGTGGCGGGACTGCAGAGCTTAGATCTCATCTGTTGGTTGTGGGATTACTTAGGTATGTCTGTCGCTTGCTACTTAAGTTGTTTGACACGCAAGTAGCCCTGTTTTGTAGCTTCACCAGGCTGACACCTCATTTTTAGGTATGCCTGGTGCTGCTCCTGGCATGCCCTCCTGCACTGTCGATTGAACCAGGGTTGATCCCCTGGCTTGTTGGTAATGATTGAGTGGATGTCCGGTGTTGAGTTGGTGGATCTGTTTGAGGTCTGTGCCATTTGGCATGATCCACACAACATGAAAGATGGCATTCTCAACATGAAAGCAGAACTTCATCTCGACAAGGACTGTGTGATGGTCACTCTTAACAAATGAGGTCAAGTATGTTTTTCCCTCTAGTTAGTTCCCTCACTACCTACTGCAGACCCAATCTAGCAACTATGTTCTTCAGGACCCAATCAGCTCAATCAGTGGTGCTGCTGCTGCCAAGCCACTCCTAGTGATGGATTTGAAATGCCTCATGCAGAGTGCATTTTGCGCTTTTGCCACCCTCAGATTAGATTAGATTATGTTGTCACATGTACCGGAGTACAAGAGTACTGTGTGAAACATGTATAGAGTTACCACTCTCTGATGCCATTTTAGAATACAATAGTTAAAATTAAAAACAAGAGCAGAAGTTAAAAAAACAGAAACAAAAGGAAAACAAAATGTTCAGATTACCCTCACTGCCAGCATGAGTCTCATGCTGAACTCACCAATGATGCCTGTGCTGGACCCACCAACGCCGCAGTGCTGCCACAACCGCTGTTTCGCCATCCCTGCTGATGCCACCGCCTCAAGTCCTGTACCTCGTCACTCCCTGTGCCGAACCCACCAACTTCAAAGTCTCCATTCTCTGGCGCCATTACTCACTGCTGGGCCCACCTCGCTGACGACATCTTGGAATCAGTAGAAGTATCAGAGTCCACAACTTTCATGAACAAATGCAAGAGTGTAACCATTTGAACCAGCACTGACATCAGAACCGTCGTCAATGCAGGTATCTCTGCCACCGTCTCGAGTCCTGCGCTGGCCCCACCAACATTGAAGTCAGCACACACCGGTGCCATCTCTTGCTGCTGGGCCCATATTGATTGCTTTCACTGATGCTTCCTCAAAGTGTTGTTTAACATGGTGGAATACTAAACCATCATCTGAAGGAGGATGATACGTGGTAATCAGCAGGAGGTTTCCTTGCCCATGTTTAGCCTGAAGCCATGAGACTTAATGGAGTCTGGACTCAATATTCAGGACTCCCGGGACAACTCCTTCCAGACTGTGTACCATTGTGCTGCCACCTCTGCTGGGTCTGTCCTGCCGGTGGGACACGAAATATCCAAGGATGGTAATGGTGGTGTCTGGGACATTGTCCATGATTTTGTGAATGTGACTATGTCAGGCTGTTGCTTGACTAGTCTGTGACACAGCTGTCCCAATTTTACCACTGGCCCCCAGATGTCAGTAAAGAAGACTTCGCAGGGTCAACAGGACTGTTTTTGCCTTTGTTGTTTCCAGTAACTGTTCGGTTTCATTTCTTTGTTGAGACTTCGTAGCAGTCGGTACGACTATGTGGTTTGCTAGGTCAGTTCAGAGACCATTTGAGAGTCAGCCATATTGCTGTGGATCTAGCATCACACGTAGGCCAGACCGGGTGAGGATGGCAGATTTCCTTCCCTGAAGGACATTAGTGAGCCAATTGACAATGGTTTCATGGTCATCTGTGGATCTTTAATTCCTGATATTTTTGAATGAATTCAAATTCCATCATCTACCATGGTGGCATGTGAACCTGCGTCTCCAGAACATGAGCAGAGTTTTCCGGATGAATGGGGTGGCACAGTGGTTAGCACTGCTGCCTCACAGCGCCAGGGACCTTGGTTTGATTCCAGCCTCTGGTGACTGTCTGTGTGGAATTTGCACATTCTCCACGTGTCTGCATGGGTTTCCTCCGGGTACTGTGGTTTCTTCCCATAGTCCAAAGATGTGCAGGTTAGATGGATTTGCTATGCTAAATTGCCTATGGTGTCTAGGGATGTGCAGGCTAGGTGTAGGGTAACAGGGATAGGTTAAGGGGGTGGATCTGGATGGGATGCTCTTAGGAGAGCCAAATGGCCTGCTTCCAAACTGTAGGGATTCTATGATTCCATGATGTGGAGATGCTGGTGTTGGACTGAGGTGGACAAAGTCAAAAATCGCATGACACCAGTCCAACAGGTTTATATGAAATCACAAGCCTTCATAAGGAGCGGCTATGATTCTATGATAATAGGTCTAGCCTCCTGAAGACTTTAATCAGATCACCACTTAACCTTCTAAATTCTAGAGAAAACAGGCCTAATTTGTATAATCTGTTCTCGTAAATTATATTTGAGGAAATTGTTTGGGTTTCTCCATTACATGTGTATTATTGTTATCTATTTGTGTTAGAAATTTTTAAGGCTAAACGACTGGATCCAAAAACTGATCAGTGTTTAGTTGTAAATATGAATAAGCTTTTGTATATTTGTAATTAATATGGAAGCTCCTTTACCTTACATTTAATATTTTTCTAACAACCATACCTTTAGAAATATATAATATGGATCTGGTGAAAATTGTATTATAACTGTTTGCACTGTTTGTCAATGAGATTATATTGCAATTTTAACTGAAAGAAGATTTGGACTCAATCTGTTTCAAAACAAGTGTCTTGTAGTGTCCTCAATCATCCCCAATCACTGGCCTTAATATGATGATGTAATTTGGAGGCTAGGTCTCTATTTTCTTTCGTTTTTCTTTTCAACAACTGGGCCATCACTGTCATAGCCCATTGTTCCCCAGTGAGAAGGAAAGGTGACTTGCTTTTGTGCAGCTGTGAATGACCTCTAAGAGGTCCCTATAAATAACTTGTGAATGACTCTCCCTCTCTGCAGAAAATCACATGGCATTTTCTCTGTGTCTCCTAAAGGTGATACATTTGAGGTGTGAGGCCTTCTCAGCACAATTCCTTGTCAGAAGATAAGTTCATACAAAAAAAAAGACACCTCAGATCATTTTTTCTTACTCTTCAAGATTTTACTACTTCATCTCACTATTCCACGATATCATGCAATAATTCTCCAAGACATTTTTTAAAATTTGCTGCTCCTTTACAATCATATACTTTTTAAATTTAGGTCTTACTTACAAGAAGTTGAATAGACTGGAGGAAGCTTTGGATTGTTTCTTGAAGCTCCATGCAATCATGAGGAACAGTGCTCAAGTTATGTACCAGATTGCAAACCTGTATCCTTTCCAAAAATTTGAGGCTGTAAGCGCATCATTGGAATAACTATGGAATTTTCATCAAATGATATTTGCTTTAATATTTTGGGAAACCTTGTAGCTTTCCTAATAAATTAGTGAATTTTTTTTTACCAACTGTAGTAAGAAATAATTTGCGCACTTGTGTAGGGATTTTCATGATCTCAGGATATCTCAAAATCCTTTACAGTCAATTAACTGTAAGTTTTAGAAGTGTAATCACTCTTGTAATTTAGGGAATGCAGTAGCCAAAATATGACCATAAGATGCCACAAACAGCAAGAAGGTGATAACTAAATGACCTTGTTCAAAGAAGGAAAAGAAATGGTCAACACCTCAAGTTGGGTCAGGTCAGGTCAGACAGGTGGGGTGGTGATAGCAGGTAAATTCAAAACAAGCCTGTGGAAACATGGGATCATGATGGGAGCAGGGTACTGTTATGCTTGTCACCCTGGAAGAAGGTTTGTGCTACAAGAACTGATGATCAACATGGCCTCCCTTGTAGAGATAATACGTTGAGGATGGCCTTGAGGAGGTGAGATTCAGATTTCCATCCCTCAGTGAGAGCACCCTGATTTGTTGCTGCTGAGACTGCAAGGAGATCCTGGGGTGAAGATGACAGAGCCACTGGATTCTGACAGATACATAGTTTTGAAGAGGAAGGGACCCAAGGGAGGGCTGCAATGGCATGAGGATGATGTATTTTGAAGGTCAGGCAGCAGAGGAACAGGGAGTGGGGAGCAGTTTGGAATGGGAGTGCCCTCTGATGTGCCTGGGGCATCTCCAAGAAATGTAGTCTCTTTCCTTCCCACCCTTTCCATAACGTTATTTTCATAAAATGGCCGTCTGGGTCTACTCTGCTTGCCCACACAAATGTATTATTGGTTGGGCAACAGATTAGTTGGTTAATTGTTCTGTTAATAAGTTCAATTCCTTGTTATTTTTTTAAATGGTAAGTGGGCTTCCAATTTTGGTACCTGCTCACCTACCATTTTATGAGGGCTGGGTCAGAGATGGGCATGAAGGCAGTAGACTAACCACAGTCATTTTTTACACTGAACATATGCTTGGTGCGGTGCCAGGAAATCTAGCCCAGGATTGCCAAAATGTGTGATATGCACTGCACATGTAATGCAAACAAGAAGCTGCTGGGCATAAGGATAAGGACCAAATAGCTCCATTGTTGCAACATTGGCAACTATACTTAAAAGCTTTGACAGCTTGCACATTTAATGCAAACAAGAAGCTGCTGGGCATAAGGATAAGGACCAAATAGCTCCATTGTTGCAACATTGGCAACTATACTTAAAAGCTTTGACAGCTTGCACAGGAAAGATTAATAGTCCACATTGTCTGGGTGGGATGCTCTTTGGAATGTTGATGTGGACCGAATGACCTGCTTCCGCACTGTAGGGATTCTATGAAATGGACTGAACTATAGAACTGCGACATCAAATTATTAGTGTGTCCAAAAAACAGTATTTTCATTTTCTGGTATGAGGATATGTTGGTCTCCTTAGGATTCAGTCCTGTCTACCAATAATTTTAATGTAATTCATATATTCATTCATTCTAGCACTTTAAAAACTGATCATAATCAGGTATTTGTTATATATTTGCTACCTGAATCCGCACAAACTTCAGTATTTTGAATATGGTGTTACTAACTAGTGTCTAAAGAGCCATTTGGAGGAGCTCATTGAATCAAAATTTCATGCAAGTAGCTACTGGCTGCAGTTTTGGAAAATTTCCAGCAGTGAAACATGGAGCTTCTCACATCAGGATTCAGCTGAACATTTATTTCAGCAGAATCTAGGAATTGCTAGATGAAAACAAAGTGGGCTATCTGGTTCAACTTCAAACGTTCTGGTCTTTGCCTTGTACGAGATTAATTGTGTAGATTAATCACGGAAATTTGTTTCCATTAGTCAGTGTGTCACAGATTCACTTGAGGCGGCACACCTACTGCCACAAAAGCTCATATACTTAAAGTTATCTGTTGTTGCGAAACATGCTGCCATTGCCATATGTCATGTCTCAAATTAGAAATACATTGCATTCCAAAATATTTTTTGAAAGTAATAAATCTAATTTGAATGCATTATTGCTATCTGTTTCCACCATTTAAGACCCTAAGAAATAGAAACAGGAGTAGGCTATTCAGCAGTTTGAGCCTGTTCCACCATTCAATAGGATCATGACTGACCCGACATTGCTCATGTCCACTTTCCTGCACTTTCTCTGTAACCCTTAATTATCCGACTACTGATCAAGAATCTATATATCTCAGCCTTATTTATCTCCACCTCCACAGCTCTCTGTGGCAAGGAGTTCCAGAAACTCTCAGCCCTCTGAGAGAAGAAACTCAATCTTAAATTGGCATCCCTTTTATTTTGAGACTGTGCACTCTGGTCCTAGATGCTCCCATGAGGGGAAACGTCCTCTTAGCATTTACCCCGTCAAGCCCATAAAAATCCTATATGTTTTGCTGAGATCACCTCTCATTCTTCTAAACTCCAGTGACTAGAGTCGCAACCTGTTTAGTTTTTGCTCATAAGACAATCCCTCCAAACCCATAATCATCCTAGGAAACCTTCTCTGAACTGCCTCCAATGAAATGATATATTTCCTTAAATAAGGGGACAGAACTCTCACAGTACTCCAGATGTGGTCTTACCAGCATCTTGTACAGGTGCAGTAAGATTTCCCTACTCTTATACTCCAACCTCCTTGAAATAAAGGCTAACATTCTGTTAGCCTTCCTGGTTACCTGCTGATTTCCCTAAGGCACTTTTAAGACATTTCTTAAAATCTATGTTTTAAGCAATCTTTTGCTCACATTTGTTTGATATCTCCCTTTTTGACTAGTCCATTGCTACATTTTGTTTAATCTGTTTCTGTGAAGCATCTTGAAATTTGATTTGATTTAATATTGTCACATGTCCTGAAATGTAGTGAAAAATATTGTTTTGCATGCCAACCAGACAAGTCATACCTACATAAGTACATCAAGGTAATAGAACAGAATGCAGAATATAATGTTACAGCTACAGAGAAGGTCAGAGAAAGCTCAATTCTCATATATGAGAGGTCCGTTCATAAGTCTGATCACAGTGGGGAAGAAGCTCTTCTTAAATCTGATGTTACGTATTTTCAAACTTCTGGGTCTTCTGCCTGATCGAAGAGAGTGGAAGAAATGAGGTTGTGTGTTTGGTTGCAGACATTTCGTCACCCTGCTAGGTAACATTGTCAGTACACCTCCGCTGAAGTGTTGGTGTTATGTCCCGCTTGTTATTTAAATGCCTCGGTTTGCTGGGGTAGTTGGCATCACCTCCAGTTCTGTTTTTCAGTGGTTTTGTATATCGGGTCCAGTTCAGTGTGTTTGTTAATGGAGTTCTGGTTGGAATGCCAGGCGTCCAGGAATTTCCTGGCATGTATTTATTTGACTTGTGCTATTATGGATGTGTTATCGAATTTGTGTCCTCCTTTGTCCATGTGTATTGAGACCAGTGAGAATTGGTCATATCTCTTGGTGCCAAGTTGGTGTTCGTGTATCCTTAACGTCAGTTTTCTTCCAGCTTCACCAGAGGCACGCTGACAATGTTACTTATCAGGGTGACGAAACATCTGCAATCAAACACACAGGCTCGGTGAACAAGGCTACAACTTCATCCACAATGTGAGCTACAAATTGGGGTGGCACGGTGGCTCAGTGGTTAGCACTGCTGCCTCACAGCGCCAGGGACCCGGGTTCAATTCCACCCTTGGGCGATTGTGTGGAGTTTGCACATTCTTCCCATATCTGCGTGGGTTTCCTCCAGGTGCTCCGGTTTCCTCCCACAGTCCAAAGATGTGCAGGCTAGGTGGATGCCATGCTAAATTGTCCGTAGTGTTCAGGGATGTGTAGATTAGGTGGGCTATAGAGGGATGAGTCTGGGTGGGATGCTCTGACAGTCGGTGTGGACTTGTTGGGCCAAAGGGCCTGTTTCCACACTGTAGGGATTCTATGATTTAAACCTTCTCAAAAACTTTAAAGGGTGGAAGAAAGTATAACCCAGGTAGGAGGGATTTTTGATTATGTTGGCTGCTTTCCTGAGGTAGTGGGAAGTGTAGACTGAGTCAGTGGAAGGAAGGTTGGTTTTCGTGATGGATTGGGCTGCATTCACAACTGTCTGTAATTTTGTGCAGTCTTGGGTACAGCAGTTGCCATGTGATGCCTCTGGATAGGATGTTTTCAATGGTGCATCTGTAAAACTTGGTAGGAGTCATCATGGAAATGCCAAATTTCCTTAGCCTTCTGAGGAAGTAGAGGTGTTGGTATGCTTGCCTGACTGTAGCGCTAATGTCAATGGACCAGGATAGATTGTTAGTAATATTTACTCATAGGAACTTGAAGCTCTTGACCACCTCCATTTCAACACCATTGATACAGATGAGGGCACGTTCTCCACTCTGCTTCCTGAAGTTGATGACTAGCTCCTTTGTTTTACTGACATTGAGGGAGAGATTGTTATCTTTACACCATGCCAGTAAGCTGTCTCTTTCCTGTACTCTGTCTTGTTGTTTGAGATCCAACCCACTACGGTGGTGTCATCAGCAAATTTGTAAATGGAATTAGAGCTGAATTTGGCCCCACAGTCATGAGTGTATAAGGAGTATAGTAAGAGGCTGAGTATGCGCCTTGCAGGGCACCAGTGTTGAGGATTGTTGTGGAAGAGGTGTCATCGCCTCTCCTTGCTGATTGCAATCTGTGGATCAGCAAGTCAAGGGTCCAGTTACAGAGGGGGAGTAGAGCCCTAGGTCTCTGCGTTTGGAGATGAGTTCGGTTGGAATTATGGAGTTGAGGGCGGAGCTAAAGTCAATAAATAGAAGTCTGATGTAGGTGTCCTAGTTATCCAGATGTTCCAGGGATGAGTGTAGGACCAGAGAGATGGTTTCTGCCGTGGATCTATTGTGACGGTAAGCGAATTGTAGTGGATTAA